GGTGGCGGTGTCAGAGAACGCAGTGTGTAGACAAATTGTGAAAGCGGGAAGGACCCGATTTGGGCAGTGAGAATGAGGAATTGAGGATGATGCCACGGATGGGAGCCTAAGTGACTCAGGCTATCCAGGACAGTGAAAGGAAAGTGAGGAAGAGGAGGCTTGGAGAAAAGATGATGAGTCCTATGTTGGATGTGGCTGGAGGGCATCCAGTTTGAGATTCCTGAAAGGCAGTTGGAGATGGGAGACTGGAGGTCCGCAGTAGAGGTTAGGGCTGACTAAATGGATCTGAGTCATCTATGTAGAGATAATTGAAACCCTAGGGGTGAATGATATCACTATGTGAAAAAATATAGAGGAAGAAGATCAGAGGGGTCAGGACAGAGCCTTGTGAGACACCTATGGTTAGCGAGTGGGCGTGACCTGGGTGGAGACCTGATAAAGGAGGCAGAGGGATAGCCAGACAGGGAGTGGGGGAGAACCAGGAGAGAGCAGTATCTATCAAGAAGAGGGCAATCAACAGTATGAGAGGCTGCAGAGAGGGTGAGAAGGATGGGGACTGAGAAAAGGCCATTGGAATTGGCAAGGAAAAGATCAATGGTAACTCTAAGGGAAGCAGTTTCAGTTGAATGATGAAATCAGAAGCCAGACTGCAAAGAGTTAAGAAGAGAGGGAGATGAGAGGAAATGGAAGCATCCATTGTTGATAGCTTTCCCAAGGAGTGTAGCCACCAAAGTGAAGAGAGATATAGGACAATAATTATAGGGAAAATGCAGATCGAGTGAGGACTTTTTTTTGAGAGGATGAGGGAGATGTGGACGTGTTTATAGGCAGTAGGGAAGGAGTCAATAGACAGGGAGAGATTGAAGAAAAGAGAAAGTGAGATGGTAGAAGGGGCAATCTGTTGGAGGAAACAGGATGGAATGGTATCCCATGCACGTAAAAGGATGATTAGCCTTGGCAAGGAGGACCATCTCTCCATGTGAGACAGGGATGAAGAAACAGAGAGTGGCAGAAGACATTTGAGTGATATGAGATGAGAAACAGAGGAGAAGAGGGAGCTCTCAGTGAAGGGCCACATTTTTTTCAGCAAAATATTAGGCAAGGTTCTCAGCTGAAAGGGTGAGGGAAGAGGCAGCCATGGGAGGTTTGAGGAGAGTAGGATAGGGAAATGTTTTGTTCATCTGTTTTGGTCGTGTCCAACTCTTTGTGACCTTATTTGGGGTTTTCTTGGTAAAGATAGTAGAGTGGTTTGCCATTCCCTTCTCCAGCTCATTTGGAAGATAAGGAAATTGAGGCAAACAGGGTTAAGTGACTCGCCCACGGTCCCATAGCTAGTGTCTGAGGTGGATGAGTCTTCTCGATTCTAAGCCCAGTGCTCTATGCACTATGGCGCCATCTAGCTGCCCAGGGAAATGCTTAGGGATGTGTCAAAGGACAACCCTGCAGCAGTCAGAGTCCACCTGAGATTACATCCTTTGTACTGACCCTTTGGAATTATATGACACTTTTGAAGCAGGAGAGTTGAGTGACTTTCTTCAGTCTAGTTCAGCAGCAATGAGTAGGAGTGAAGGCAGTAAAAGGTGGGAGTAATCCAGGGCTGGAGTTCAGAAGATTTTTCAAAGGGATAAGGGCAGTGTGTGTGTGTGTGTGTGTGTGTGTGTACCTTGAGAGGACCTACAAGGGGGGCAAGATGGAGAAGGGAAGACAGTACAGCGCAGGGGAGATGGCCTGAGAAAGAACTGAGGGATGTATGTGGTGGGGGGTGGGATTGGAGGTTATAGTGGGGACAAATAGGGTTTGGAATTGTGGAGGGAGAAGTGGGATGACAAGATTGCAAATCAGATAAAGGAATTTTGGAGTTCACGAACATGGAAATGGAACGTGTGTGGGTGATGGAGAGATGAAGGTTATGACCGTCTGTGTGTAGCGGCGGTTCACAGCATGTGGTCATGGCAAATGAGTAAGTGGAGGATTTGGGAGGTTAGGGTATCTGAGGGAGTATCCGGGATCTTGGGGAGAAGAGAAAGACTGAGTCAATAACTGAACTCATTAAGGAAGGAGAGTGGCCTTTAGACAACAGCTCCAAGAATATTGATTGCGTGATAAATACAAATCAAATCGACCTCAAAGGTTGCGAGGTTAATGAATGATGTTGGGAGTAGTGTTTGGGATTGGTAATGGGAAGCAGAGTACCCCAACTGCCCCACCATGACCAGTGAACTAAGGGGGTACGAAAGCACAAGGAGTTCTGGAGAGGGGTAGCCAGGGCAGCTGTGCCATCGGGGGGAGCTGGGTCACAGTGACGGCAACAAGACGCAGAGAGCGAGAACGCAAAGGTTTGTTACCCATGGAGCAGGCATCAGGGACACAGTGGACCAGGCAGCTTGAGAGTGGGACTTTGAGGGTCTTGGGTTGAGGGGAATGGGAACAAGAGAGTGGTTAGTGGTGGATGAAGAATGGAGTTGGAGCAAGGGGAACCAGGGATTCAGATTCCCTGGGATGGAGCGGAAGAATGAAGGGCAATCATTGAGAAATGAGTTCCAATAGGTTGTCAATTATCCACAGAGGGTCACCTTTGGGGTTGTCCCAGTGTGTCAGGGATCTGATTGGGGATAGAGGGGCTGGAAGTTGATCGACTGTTCTGTAGTGGCATAGAGAGCTGCCTTAGGCGTGAAAAAGTGATTCACCCAGGGTCACACATCCATTATGTCAGAAGCAGGATTTAAATCCAGGTCTCAACTCTGAGGCTGGCTTCCCATCCAGCTTGACACACTGCCTCTCTCTAGTCGTGTTTGTGTGTGTGTGTGCATGTTTGTCAGGAGGTGGGTAACATCACTGCATCAATTAGAGTTAAGACTTTCAAAGTTGTCTTTCATCTTCAAATCTACCCATCCATCCATCCATCCATCCACCCACCCATCCATCCATCCACCCATCCATCCACCCATCCATCCATCCATCCATCCACCCATCCATCCATCCATCCACCCATCCATCCATCCATCCACACGGTGTACGACTCTGGATTGGTGGAACTTTTCCCTACCTGCACGAACGGTGGAATTAATGTGACAGCTTTGGAGAGAAGAGATATTTTTCATTCCTACCTCAAGGGAGGCACACATGGTTCCAGACTCTCTTTGAGAGGATGAGGAGGGAAAAGGCAATAAGCAAACATTCTTAGTCAGTCCTCACAAGAACCGAGTAGACACTATTATTTTCTCCATTTTATAGTCGAGGGAATTGGGGCAGAGGCTAAACGGTTTGCCTAGGGTCACAGAGCAAGCGTGAGGCCACGTTTGAACTCAGGTCTTCCTGGTTCCAGGCCCAGCGCTCTACCACTGCGCTATCAGCTGCCTCTAATGATGGAAAAAAACTTTGGGAAATGGCGGATGTGTTGAGAAGCTGGAACCTCCACACATTCCCGTTTGCCTCTCTAGAGACTTTGGGAAACCTCCTCAAGGGTGGGATGGGGTTGTGCTAAAACCTCTTGCTCCCAAACAGAGAGGTCATTCACTCTGTATTGTTTGGCACATTCCAATCTGGACAAATCCCCCAACTTCTATGTGTCATCTGGGGAGCTGGCTTGTGATGGTCTTTTGTGTAACTAACATTTGGTGGGAAGGAGTCAAGCCTGCAGGTATAAGCTCGGGGTTAGACCTTCCCCTTTAAGAGATAACAAGGAGGAAATTGGCTTGAATCTAAAAAACCAAAACCCCAAACAAAACTGCAATTTGCTAGATCAGCGCTATTAGAGGAGTGGAGAGCCAGTCCAGCATTCTCTTAGGGGACAACGGAATCACTGGCCTCATGGAGCTTTCTCCTGCTCCCCTCCAGGTAGGACCTAGTGTCCCTGGGAGAGAAGTGGCCAAGATTCCAGCATGATCTCTCAGGAGCTCCCCCAAAACCCTACATAGAACATTCCGTCTAATGTACTAGAATACACATATTATGCAGATAACAACACATCACACACACATACACACAAAATTATAATAATCAGTCCACATGACAATATTGTCTTTGTCTGTATTTAATAGTTCATTTCATAACTGATGCATTAATTCCTAACGTGGAAAATCTACCAGTATAACTGTATTTACCTTCCTCAATAGTTTATGTAAGCAATACAATGGTGCATCAGTGCCTAAAACATATGTAAGAACTCACTAGCATCTACCTGAATGAGCAGCAGACTCGAATTCACTATTTCCTTGCCTATATAAGGTGATTTCTACTGTAAGACAGTTGCTGATATGACCAAAGGTAGTGTCTACGCTGACTTGTCTATACGATGAGCAACAATCCAATTCCACAAACACTTATTAGGCGCTTCCTGTGTGCTGAGCCCCGTGATGCTATCTGTACACAGAAGGCCAAGAACGCTTGCTCCTACTCTCCCCTACCCCGGGGGTGGGGTGTCACCTGACCTGCTGGCTGGGGATCGAGGTAGACAGACAGAAGCTGACGAGCCCTGGCAAGCCCAGGCCTGGTCTCCCACGTGCCCAGGGTAACGCCAGGTGAAGGACAGTGTCTCAGAATGAGAGGCCTACACAGTGCTGTGTTACCATCTTTATTAACCAACAAATCTGACCCAGAATAGGAGCCCTCGAGGACAGGGGCATCACTGGCCCTGGCCATCACAGGGACAAGACTCGGAAGACGGGAGCTCAGAGCTCCCCGCCTTGTCTAGCTGGCCATCCCGAGAACAGGGGGCTGGGAGAGGGGCCCCGCTTCTTGCCTGGTCTTGGAAATTAGCCACCTTCCTCCCTCCATCTGTGGGGATAGATGAGCCCTAGCTCCACCAACCCCTGAGAACCTTCCACTGCCCCCGTGTCTTCTGAGCAGCTGAATCCCCCCGGCTCTCCTGCTGCTGCTGCTGTCTGTGCCCCTGGGGGGGTGCCTGGTGTGCTCATCCTCACACACGGCAGCTGGAGGTGGGGGAAAAGAGGGACCCACTGTCCTCCCGGGAACTTAGGAAGCCCTGCATGCCACGCTCAGCGCGCACCCTCACGCCAGCAGGCGGCTGTACTCGGCCAGGGCGGAGGACTTCTTGACCCCATCCCAGATCCGGGCAGCATAGTGGAACCTAGGCAGAGGAGAGGACAGGCGTCGAGGATCAGGCAGGGGAGAGCCTGTCAGAGAACATCAGTTAGGAGTGACCTTAGGGAGCATCTCTAGATAACAACTCCAGAGCCGGAGGGGAGCGAACACAGCAACTAGCTCAGACCTACCATTATGCAGATGAGGAAACTGAGGCCCAGGATCTTACTGGGAAGTCGGTGAGCTTCTCTGAGTCTCAATTTCCTCATCTGTACACTGGGCTACCTCACATGGTGGCTGATGGGCTCAAAGGGCCCAAGGAAAGCCCTCTGGGCTTTGGAAGTCCTGAGGGTCTGCAGAAGCACCGGCCTAAAGGCTGATCCGCGGGATCCCAGAGGAAGGCTGCGGCGGAAGAATCCTTTAGAAACAGAGCTCGGTCTGTCTGCTCACAAGGTCCTTCCCTGCAGCCCCAGGAGGGAGGCAAGGCTGAGATGACGGGGAGGCTGAGGCCCAGAGATGAGGAGCCCACGTGGGCCTCTGCCCTCCTCCCTCTGCTGCACACACCTCAACACGGCTCTCAGGTTGAAGCCTTGGGCCCGAGGCTTCTCTACCCCTCCTGGCACCATCAGTTGGCCCAAGGTCACGAGTTCTAGTCTTCTGCTGAGGGGCTCCACCCACCAAAGACGGGGCCTACGGAGCCGAGCACTCTGCACCCAGAGCAGAGGGCACTGGGACCACGCCCACCTCGGCCCTGACTTGCGGCTGCTCCACAGCTGCCTGAGATCACGGCTTTCTTGGAGAGAGAACCCTGAGGGCTCATAAGGAGCCCAGGCCTCCACATCTTTGGGATGTGACAACGGGCTGGCCAAGCCCTCCCTGTCCCGTGTGTGTGTGTGTGTGTGTGTGTGTGTGTGTGTGTGTGTGTGTGTGCACATGGTCATGTGTATTCACGGTTTGTGTGCGAGTGTATGTGTGTACATGCGCACACATGGTCATGTGTGTATTCACGGTTTGTGTGCACGTGTGTATGGTCATGTGTGTATTCGCGGCCTTGTGTGCATGCATTGTCATGTGTGTATTCACGGTTTGTGTGCGTGTGCGCATGGTCATGTGTGTGTTCACGGTTTCTGTGCGTGTCTGCATGTGTGCCCGTACCGCTGACTCCTCAGACTCAAATGCAGGACTTTCTTTACCCCTCTCTCTATTACATTCCTCATCACACTCGGTCTGATGGCGTTCTAGCCTGTCACGGTCTTTGTGATTCCTGACCATTGGCTTAGAAGGCTTCTCTCCCAGCCCAGTGTGTTATCCGAACTCACATCCCAGTCACTGACGACCCCTGGGGCACTCCACTGGAGACCTTCCAGGTTACGAGCCATTAGTGACAGTCACTTGGGTCCATTCAATTAACTATTTCTGAGTCTCCCACTGCACCAGGACGGCTTGAGCGGGGGACGCTGCTCAGTGCTCTACTGACATCTGGGTGCTCTCCCCACCCACCACGTTTGTGCAGGTAAAGGGAGGGAGGCTGGTCAGACCACCTCCCCCCACCCCGCCCTGCCCTGTTCTTGAGGAGGCCAGGCTGGCAGATCCCCTTTAAAATGAGCCCAAACCATCCTTTTAATATTTTCTGTCCCTGAATCTTGCCAAGGGCTCAAGGCAAGCTCTCTGGCCTCCACTGCCCGAGCCACTGCTCATGGGACACACCTGCCGGCTGGCAGGAGCCTTCCCTCCCCTCCCCCACGGGCCGTACCAGTTCTTCTCCGTGAGGATGGTGTGCGAGAGCTGCGGCCGGGCCATGGACATCACCTGGCTACGGAGTTTGGTCACTAGGGACTGGAAGCTGGGGTGGCCTCGATAGCCCGGGAGAAGGGAAAAGAGCGGGCTGGAGGCTGGGCCTGCGGATCGGGGTGAGAAGGGTGAGAGCCCTGGCCCGGGGACCTTTGCCTCTCTCCTCCAGGGGAGCACGGACCTCCCAGCACCCACTTCCTTGGGTGGCCATCCCCGCAGGACGGCAGCCCCCATCTGCCCAGGGCAGGCCGGGGCTCCCCACAGCTGGTACCTGCTCGGGGCAGGCTCTCACTGTCCCCCTCGGTATCCATGAAGGGCACTAGGAAGAGGTTCACCTCTGAGTCCAGGAAGTCGGGGGGCAGGCCTGGGAAGACGTTGCACTGCAGCATGGACAGAGTGCCTGGGAAGGAGAGACAGCCCTGGGTGAGACCAAGGCGAGGCTGGAGGGGCTCCAGGGGTAGGCCCAGGGGCGGGCCCTTACCCTTGTACCGCAGGTGGGAATGGGCCATCAGCTGGTCGATCACCAGGTGCATCTGCCGAAGCTTCTGGGGGCAGAAGTCCTCGCGCCGGGCCTTGTTCTGTAGGAAAACTAGGGGTGGGGTGGCTGAGTGAGACCCCTGGACCAGGCAGGAGCAGCCTCCCTCGCCTCCCTCGCATGAGGCTGCCTCACCCAGGTGGGGGTAGTACTCCGTGCCTTCATCTGAGCCCGACGAGCTGCTGGCCTCGTGGCTGGGGGAGGGGGTAGAGGGCTTCACCATCTCTGCTGTCTGCAGAAACCTGGGCAGGGGGGAGACCAGAGAGGCTGACGCCCTGCCTGGGGCTGCGCAGACCCCGGACAGCAGCCGAGGGCCATGCCAGGCATCAGGCATCTCCTTCTTCTCCCAGCTGCCGACAAGTTCACGCTGAGATGGTCTTGGGACCCGTCTGCCGTGGAAGCCAATTCATTCCGATCAGACAAACGCTGCCTCCTCTGAGCCGTACGATAGGCCTGGAGGGCGGGGCTGTCCTTACCCCCATTTTACAGATGAGGCCAACAGAAATGCTGTGCTTAGACAGGGTCTGAGGCAGGATTTGAACCCAGGTCTTTCCGACCCCAAGGCCAGCGCTCCAGCCACTCTGCCGCGCTACCTCAGTGGCCCTTACAGACGAGGAAGTCATGGCCCACGTCTGCCCACAGGCACGCAGATAGGAAGTACCCGAGTCTGGATTTGAACGCGGCGTCCTGACTCCAAGACCCAGCGGCTCCCCCGACCCATCCAGCCCCCTCTCTCGCCTCCCTCCTGTCCCCTGCCCTCTCACCGGTACAGACTGAGGTCAGTGAACCAGTCCTGCACCACGATGACCACGTGGCAGACGGTGAAGAGGAAGGCCGCGATCTGCAGGGACTGGAGAAAGGAGGAAGAGGTGCTCAGCAGGCTCACGGCCTGGCTCCTCCCCCAGCTGCCCCTGGACCACAGCCCTCCTCCCCCCAGGCCCCTCACCTGCATCTCCACATAGGTGTGGGGGAGGCTGTACTCCGGGGGCAATTTGCGGTCATTGTTGATAAGGTGGTCCAGGATGGATGGACTCAGGATGGGCTGGGGGAAGGACGGAAGAGGCTTTCGGAGCTCAGAAAGGCTCCGGCGCCAAGGACAAGGGCCATGCCCAGGGTGATGTTGTCAGCAGGCAGGAGGACGGACTGTTTGATCCTATGCCCTCATGCCCCTAGCCACGCACACAGTGGGTGCTTAATAACTGCCTTGGTTGGTTCCAACCAAGGTCTCCTAATCTAGTGCTCTGCCTGTTGGGGCCTGGAGAGAGAAGGCCTTAAAGGATGGGGGGGTGGGGGGGGTGGGGGAGAAAGGGGAAGCCTTGCAGAAGGGGGAAATGGATAGAGGAGGAGATGCAGGAAGGGGAGGAAGGCAGACATGAAAGGTCTGGTGTCCGGCAGGGCCTCTGGCCCATCCTCACCCCACCTGCCCTGTCTTCTGTTTGGGAGCCACGTCTGAGTAGCTGGGCTGCAGATGAGGCGATGCTGAGGACACACGAGCCAGGCTCGAGGGCCTGAGGGGCTCCCAGGTGGAGGACGCGTCAGCCCGGTGTGGCCTGGCCCCAGAGGGCAGAGCGTGGAGCTTTGGGGGGAAGCCAGCCGCAGGCAGCATGGCTGCCTGGAGAGGGCCCGGGGCCCAGCTGTGGGGACTGTCCTCCAGGGGATGGTGTTCCAGGGCACGCTGGACATCCTCCCTTCAGGGGCTGGCGGGGGCCCCTACCTGGGTGTCCAGGAAGACGATGCGCTCCTGGGTGATGAAGAAGTCAATGCCGCTCGTCTGGTTGCCACCACGCTCCTTCATCTCGGCGCTCTGGGCCCGGAACACATACGCTCTGTGGGGAGGCCAGGACCGCATGCCCTCCCGTTAGGGAGTCCTCAGCGCCCCCTTCCTGTCCCTCCCCCGCCCACGAGCATGAAGGCCCTCCGGTCCCCCTGGGGGCCGGTGTCCTCTGAAGGTCTCCACCAGAGCACCCCAAGGATCTGTACTGGGCCTTTCTGCCAGCGACAGTCCCAGATGGAAGGCAAGTCAAGTCAAGAGGCGCAGAGCCAGGACAGCCCTCTGCAGAGACAGCCTGGAGCAACAGTGCAGGGGCTTCAGCCCTGGTGCTGACGCCTCCTGGCTCCTGCGACCTCTGTGGCTGGCTCCTCATCTGTAAAATGGGGATCATCGGGCTTGTGACATGAGTCAGGGTCGCTGTGAGGATCAGTGAGATAATGTGGGTAAAACGCCAGGCCAGCCTCAGGCGCCACGTGAATGTCGGGGGATCCAAGGAGAGCTGGCTGGGCTCCCCTGCCAGGGGGGTCTTCGAGCAAGGGCCAGAGAACCAGCTACAACCCTGGGCTGGACCAACAAAGAGGAAGTCCAAGAGAGACAAACGTCCGACGGGGAGCGGAGGGGGGCTGGTCTAGACAGGCAGCAGCCCTTCTGAAGAGCGCAGTGTGAGTACGGGGAGGCCTGGCTTCTGGCCCCAGTAGGGTGATGAGCCTGCTGCAGACCCCTCTTCCCCCAGCTCCCAGCATCGTTGCCGTCTGCTCAGCTCTTCTCACGGTGCTGCCCTGGGAGCCTGTCCTCCCCCGAGATCTGAGCTCTCTTCCTCCTCAAAGAGAAGCGACCCCAGCCAGGGTCGGGGCTCAGAGAACTGACCCCCCCCCCCACCTCGTGCATGGACATTAAAGGCTGGCCTGAGGTGCAACAGGAGGTGGGGGACCCGCCTCAGGAGCTTGTCCCTGGGTGGGGCAGGGTGCTGGCCACTGGCATCTCCAAATCAGAACTCTCTTCTTCCTGACCCTCTGCGGGACGCAGTGCACTAGAAAAACTCAGCACCGGGGTTGAGTCCTTCTCTTCAATCTTGAGGGACATCTGAGCAATTCCACTCCAGCGGGGTGGGGCCCGAGGAAATTTCAGGGTTCAGATCCATGCTGGCTACCTCACTGGCCCTTCTTGCATACTGGGCCTCCTTTTACTGATTCAAGGAACATTTATTAAATGCCTACTGTGTGCCAAATCCTGTGACCAGGCTGAGAAAAACATCCGGCTTAGCTCATCCTGGCCCAGGACTAACCACAACTCAGGCCAGTGGGAAGGTGAGACCAACCCACAGATAAAACACCCCAGAACCACAGGATGCCGTGCGTCACTGAGGGCGGGCAAAGCGCTCAGGGCGAGGACTCGGCTGGGAGTGGGGACGGCTTCTTGGAGGAGGCAGCATCTGAGAGGGGCCCGAAAACATGGGCAGGTTTGACAGGCAAAGAAGAGGAAGAGAGGCAGGAAGGGAAGGGGGCAGAGTGGACCAGTTTGGCTGGAGCTGAGGGACAGAGACAAGGGGTAAGTAACAGACAGAGACAAAGGGGGACAGAGAAACAGAGGCAGAGATAAGAGGGGAGGGAGAGACAGAGAGCCATAGAGAGACAGAGAGAGAGAAGGTGAGCAAGAGAGAGCGAGAGAGTGAGAGAGACAGACAAAGGGAGAGGGAGAGATAGAGATAGAGACAAGGGGGGAGGGAGAGACAGAGAGCCACAGAGAGACAGAGAGACAGAGAGAGACAGAGAAAAGGTGAGCAAGAGAGAGCAAGAGAGAGAGACAAAGGGAGAGGGAGAGATAGAGACAGAGACAAGAGGGGAGGGAGAGACAGAGAGCCATAGAGAGACAGAGAGAAGGGGAGCAAGAGAGCGAAATAGTGAGAGAGAGAGAGAGAGAGAGAGAGAGAGAGAAACAAAGCGGGGTAGGGAGAGAGAGATAGAGACAAAGAGAGGGAGAGATAGGGAGACAGAGACAAGGGGGGAGGGAGAGATAGAGAGGCAAAGAGAAAGGGAGAGGGAGGGAGGGAGACAGAGACAGAGACAAAGGGAGAGGGAGAGACAGAGAGACAGAGAGAGAGAGGGAACATGACAATAACACAAGACCAGGGAGGGCCTAGGACAGGAGCTGTTTCAATTCTGTTTCTGCATCTCCAGCACCCAGCAGGGTGACTGCACACAATAGGTACTTAATAAATGCTTGACTGGTTCATTCAGTGAACAACTGGGAGCCACGGAGGGTCTCTGGGCGGCAGAGGGATGGGCCTGGGCTGGGAGCAGGAAGACCTCAGCCCATGGCAACAGTCCAGGAGGTGGGAGGAGGCTCGTGTCTCCATGGCCACCTGACGCGGACTTTGTGCATGAAGTCTGCTGAAGGTTTCACTTCACCACAGGCCCGGGCAGGAGGCACCAGAGGGAGGAATCTTCCCATTTTACAGATGAGGACACCGAGGCTCAGGGACTTGCCCCGGGACGGTCGGAGGCGGGCTAGGAGCCCTGACTGCCCTGATCCAGGTCGAGGCTCTCTCTACGTGGGGAGGAGGCAGGGAAATCTCTTTGGCAGGTGACTTTGTGGGCGGCAGGGGCGAGGGCAGGGGAGAAGCCGGGGGTGAGCCCTGGGGCACCGCCCCTCCCACCTCACCTCTGGTCCTCCTCGGGAGTGTTGGCCGACAGCAGGGACATGACCATTGACTTGCCTGTTCCTTGGAGACCCAGGACCCCTACCACCAGCACGTCCGTCTGATCTAGCAGGTACTGTGGGGAGAGCAGACCCCGGGACAGCATCAGCGTCCTGCCCCTGGGGAATCTGGGAAGGGCACGGGGCGTGGCTCAGGGGTGGGGCCCATGATGCCACGAGCCTTGGGCAAAACTGAGGTTGCGGGGGAAGAACCTGGGCTCTGTTAACTTGAAAACATTTAAAAAGAACTGTGCTTTGATATGACTGGTCTCCTCTGTAAGCCTTCCTATTTCACTTTATGCATTTACAAACATGATTCTAAGAAGGGGTCCATGGCACCAAGAAGGGGGAGACCTCCCACTCCTGGCAGAATAAAACATAGTGAGAACCTCCCTCCTCACTTGGGAAAGGAGGGAATGGCAGCTCCAGGCAGGGGAGGCTTCTCAGCCCCAGTCACAAGGGATAGGCTCCCACCCCCTGCCTCCCCCGCCCCAGGAAGGGGCCAAGGAAACACTGAGAACCCACAGACTGCACAGGTGGAAGGCCCATCCGCCCTCCTCATGAGGCAGGGCCTCTCCGGCCCTGGTGAGGCCGTCTGCCCGCAGACACTGGGGAAGGCTGTGCGCCAAGCCTTCCCGTATGTGGGGAGCTGCCCGAGCCGGTGAGCCGCCAGGACACAGGGCCTTGCCATGTCCACGCTGAGCCAGCTCAGACCTTTGGGCTGCCCGGGGCCTCCCACACGATCTGTTCCAAACTGTCCTGACCAGGGCTTGCCCAGGCCAGGCCTGACTCGGACACCCCTGATGACCGTGGAGGCCTCCGGTCTCTGACCCACGCCTTCACGAGCTGCTCGCTCTTCCTGGGCAGCTCAGCTGCTGCCCCCCGGGCAAAGGGCACGGGATGAAGGTCTTACCTCGATAGCGCTGTCGCACCAGTTCATCTGGTCATCCACCAGCTTAATGCTGTGCTTCATCCGCTCAGGGGGCAGTAGCTTGGCCTGGCCCACCACGGCTGGGAAGGGAGAGAAAACAGGGACCCTGTCACCCAGACCAGGGGCCTCTCGGGCCTTCACTGAGAGCAGGGCCTTTCTGTGAAGCTGCACTACTTAGCATGCAGCAGGCACTTAATAAATGCTAACTGACTCGCTGAGAAAGCTAAGGTCACAGCATACCCCCAGCTGGAAGCCTGTCTCTAACCCGGCCCCCAACCCTTTCTGGCTCTCTGCACTCTCCCTCTCCCTGGGCTACAGGAGCTCCGAAGGGAGCAGTTGACCCGAGTGAGGGCACTGCAGCAGACATGCCGGTCAAGGGCAGTGACCAGTGAGGCAGGGCCTGGCCTTTCCCTTTCCCTTGGGGGCATCCCCCAGGATGAAGAGGCATGGCTGATGGGTGAGGGGTAGCCCAGACCTCTGCACGTTCCTCCCGGCTTCCCTCTCACTGCGGAGAGAGGGCCCCACCACCCTCCTGGTCAGCAGTAACACCCCTGTCCTTCGTCCTGTCCTCCTGGCCTGCTCCTGGCCGTTCTCCCTCCACCCACAGGCTTTAGTACTGCAGACCCCCACCTCCCACCCTGATCCATCCCAAAGGACTCAGCAACACACGCCAATGTCTCCAGGGCTCCCTGTCTCCTCCATGTTCCAACCCAGTTTCATTTTTTTAAAGAAATGTCTATTTTTGTGTCTCTTACAATGGGCGTGGCTATTACTACAACGGGGTGGTCCACGCTACGGTTTGCCAAGAAGGCCCACCTTGGGCATGTGGATTCAGACGAGGTTGGAGACCACTGGGCTAGGCTGCTGGGGTGTGGGAACAGGACCCCAAGACCCTCCCAAGACTCTTTCATGGGTTCTCTAAGCCCGAGCCCTTCCTGGCTGGGTGCCGCGGGGGATCGCTGCCCTCTTCCCCTTCTCATTTCAGTACCTCACTGATCTCATCCTAGGGAGGATCCAGCCATTCAAATGCCCGGTGCTTTTAGTGGGAACCTCCCCCCTGGCACGGAGGGCCACTTTACACGTCATTAAGAACGTGTCTCCCCCCCACCCCCAACTTTGTCCCCATCAGAGACAGTACCGGACGCACAGTAGGGGTAGGACCGGCTTCGGACCGAGGAAGCCCAGCATCTGAGGCGCACTCTCTGTGGGACTGGTCAGTCATCGGCAGCTTCCCCTTTGCATTGGTACAGGGGCTTCTGCAATGGGGGCGCCCTCTGCTGAGGTGATCTCAGCCCTGTCTGTCCCCCCAGAACCAAGGACCTAGCCACCGGGTGTCTGGATGCAGAGACAGCATCCAAAGGATCCTCTGCTTTGCCATGAGCAGAGGGAGGGTGCGCCTCCCAGCACTGTGCAGGGGGTCCCCAGTGCCTGAGTGTCTGCTTACACAGAAGGGGAGGGAGCTCTTTGGCATCCAAGGGGCGACTGGCACCTCATGGCGGGTGATTCTCTTGGGGGACTTGGGAGGTTTTCTTACAATTTAAGTACAGACCCCCCCATCGCTTAAACATCTGTTCTAGGAACCCCCTTTTGCTTTTAAACAGCGTTTCCATGTTTACATGGGGGCAGCCTGCAGCACTTCAGGGCCTGGCATTTCATTTCAGAAGCTAGTTACTCTCTAGGACATGGAAATCTTTTGCATTTAGTATTCGCGCATCCCCATGTAAAGATTATACCTCCCCCCATCTTAGAGTGTGCTCATCCTTTGTTCGGAGGATTCCTGCATTCGCACATGTTCACATACACAGCATTACACCATCCCGCATCTGCCCACCAGGAGAAGCCAGCGTCTGCCCCCCACTCACGGTCCATGGCGGCGGGAGCTGTGGTGCCCATGCCCCGGTTCTGAATCTGGTAGACGGGCTGGGTGGGCCGCTGGCCTTCCTTCTCCCCCTTGGGAGGGGCGGGGACCACTGGGGGGGGGTGGTGCGGCGCCTTCAAGGACTGGGGCGCCTGCTCCACCGGCCTGGCCCTTGACTTCTTCCCGAGGCTTCATTAAGACAATAGGTTTGTCCAGAGGAGCTGGGATCTGCGGGGCAGCGGGAGCCGGGGCTGGCGGGGGCGGAAGTTTAGACTGCAGAGGAAAAAGAAGCTTGGAGTCACCCGTGGCCACTCATCTCCAGCCCCCAACAGTGCCGTGGGCCCCCCAGGACTCCCCCTGACCTTACCCGCTCTGCTGGAGGCTTGGAGAGAATGATTGGCGTTTTCTGCATGACTGATGTCCCTGCCTCCTCATTGCCATCCTGTGGAAGGGAAGGAAGAGAACTCCAGCCCTGCTCGAGGACCTGCTGCAACTCCCCATTACTGCTGCACCCCTCCCACTGATCTCCCGAGCTCTCCTTCTTGCCCCTGGGAAGGAGTGCTCCATCTTCCAAAGTGCCAAGTGGGAGAAGCCCACCCCTCCTCTGTGAGGACTGTGATTCAATCATCTGGGTGTGTTAGTGGACGGCCCTTTTTGTCTCCTCCCCATCGTGGTGACGGCCAACATCACAACTCCCCTGTTGCAGGAGAAGCGCCCGACTTCTGGCCAAGGCAGCTGCCTGAATGGAGGCAGACCACCCGGCCCCCATATACCCAGTCCAGCCAAAATCTGAGACTGATTAACAACCCAGAAACTCAATGAGAAACCAGAGGGAGTGGCACCTTCCACCCCAGAAGCGCACAAAAGGTCAGCCAGGAACTTGGGCAATGGTGAACAAACCCTCGAGAGATCAGACTGGGACTGTCCAGGCCCAGAGGCTCCTGAGACGCCTGGAGGGCCCTGAAGATTCGGGCATGGCTCCTGAACTTCCAGGGTCCAGAGAGGGCCAAAGTGTTGGTAGTGGCTGTCAGCACCAGAACCTGAGGCATGTGGGGTGAGGCCAAGCAGGGCCCCAAAGGGCAGCAGGGGTCAGAGCCCAGCCAGGGGACAAGGCCCCAGGGCAGGAACAAAAGCTGGAAAGAGGACCAAAGCAAAGCAAATGCCAACCAGTATAAACAGTCGTTAACAACACGGCAAGCAGAGTCTCAAAGGAAAATGGAATTTCCATAAGGACCACAGGAATACCTAGAAGAAATGAGGCGAGGGATGAAAAACAAAAGCTCCAGATTCGGAAGGAAATGGAAGCAGAGGAAGCAGTCATGACCCAGACAGAAGTCAACGACTTCTCAGGAGAGCCAGAAATTGTAGAACAAAATCAAAATACTGGAAACGGAGGAAAAGCCAAGGTCTGACGTAAAAGACTCCCCCCAAACAGGCTAAGGAGATACAGTGTTAGAATCACTGGACTCTGAAAATCACGCTAAGAAAGAGCTAGCCCAGACAGTCTTACAAGAAATCCTCCACGGACACGCCCCGAGTCAGGACACGAGGAAGTCGTCGGCCAGCCCGGGAGGGAAGCCCAGCAGGGACGGCTCTGGGACGTCAAGGCAAAGCCCAGGAAGCATGCGCATGTGTCTAGAAGGGTGTCCAGGCACCCGAGGGTGCTAGTGGGGATCTGGCCAGGCCCGGGCTGCCTCCTGAGAACACACGATGCCCAAGGTAGAAGGCAGAGACCCAGCACCATGACCAAGAATGACGGACCTGCAAAGCCCAGGGGCAAACGGACCTTTGATCAGAGAGAGGATGATGGCTGTGTGTTCGTGGTGAAAAAACCAGAACCGAGCAGGGTTGGGAAATACGAACAGGGGCCAGGGTAATCCGGAGGAGAACACAGCTAGCCACTGGAAAGAGCTGGTGCTGGGCTCACGTTCCGGGGCCCTCTGGAACCCGAACGTCTTCACAGGACGTTCTGGGGCAGGTCCTGGGGTGGGCTGGCTCTGTGCTGAGGGTTGGGAGAAGAAGAAAGAAAGAAGGAACAGACTGGGGTAGGAAGGGGATGGCGCTTGTGGTTTCTCATCAAGGGGGAGGGGGAGAAGAGTGACAGACACGGAGGAGGAAGTGGGGGGGTGGGCACCAGCGGACCCCAGTTTGGCGCAGAAATAAGTGAAAATCAATACAGAAGGAAGGGGGTGGGGGAGGGAAGGGGGATGATACAGGGGACACAACAGAGATCCTGATGCTGAAGGAGGACTTAAAGGGGGACGAGGCTGAGTTTGGGGGGCTTAGGTGGCTATCAGGTAACTGGGGGTGGAGGAACAAGCTGTGAATGAACAAATCAAAGACGCATTTATGAAGTGCTGGCTTATCACGTGGCACATGAGCGCAACGGAACGCAGCTGCCCCTTCAGAAATGGCCAAAGGGGCGCGTCTGAGCCGAGGCGGAGCCAGGAGCAGAGCTGATCCGAGGACAACGGTGCCACCGGAAGGACGCCAGGACGCCGGACACGGTCTCCAGGGGCCCGGGGCGCTTCTGGCTGCGGCCACCAAAGGCTTCTCTGTGACCAGGGACGGTCACCTGCTGTGACAGGGCTGGGAGGAGAGGCCAGGACAAAGAGGCCCACAGCAACCCCTTAAAAATGCCCAGGAGCGAACGGAGGCGAGCCAGGAGGGAGCTCAGGCCGGCAGGACGATCCTTCTGACACACCAAAGCCAGCAGTGAGAATCAGATTCAACTTCCTGTAGGCCTCTCTGTTTCTAGAAACTCTTTTTTTGGTGTTTAAATTCAGAATAAAAAATTTAATTAAAAAGAGTGAGCTTCTTGTGGGCACGGGCTGTTATTTTTGTGTTTGTATATTCAGAACTGAGACAGACGTGAAAGCCTGTGCCTCAGAATCCTTTACATTCTGTGTGTGAGTGTGTGTGTCTGTGTGAATGTGTGTATCTGAATGTGTGTGCGCGAAAGGTTGTGTGTACATGAGTGTATCCGAGTGTGTGTGCGCGAAAGGTTGTGTGTACACAAGTGTATCTGAGTGTGTATAAATGAGCGAGTGTATGTGTGTATATGCGCATGTGGATATGTGTGTGCATGAGTGTATGTGTGAATGTATCTGAGTGTGTATGAGTAAGCGAGTGTGTGCGTGTGTGTACCGAATATGTATGTGTGTGAGTGTCTCTCTATGTATGTACCAGAATGTCTGAGCGTGTCTGTGGATGTGCCCTTCTCCCAGAAGTGGCCCCCTTCCTGCACCTCAGCTCCTGAAGGCCCTGGCTGACTGGAGTACTGCCCGGCCTTTCCTGCAGCACTGCCTGCCCCTCAGAACTCCTCCAGCTCTGCTCTCTGGGGCCCGGAGCTCTATACCCTCCCTCCAGACAGCTCCTCCATCTCAGCCACTGCCCCAAACGTTAGAATGTCAGCTCCCCAAGGGCAGGGGCTGTCTTCTTTGCTTCTACCGTGATCCCCAGGATTTAGCCAGACCAGTGCTCAGTAGAGGCTTTTTCATTCATTCCTTCACTGACTCCTCTCAAAGCCTCCAGTAATGGAGAGCCCACCACCTGGGAAGGCAGCCCACATCGGCACCACAGGTTAAGCAGCCCTGTCTTGTACGTGATGGCCTTGGGAAGCTTCTCTCCTTCACCTGGCGTCCTGGAGGCCCCTCACCATGCTCTTCCTCAGCTGTGGTGCCCCAAACCTGAACTTCCTAAAGCCAAGAAGCTTCAGGGACTCCCTACAGTGTCTACGATAAGATATGGACTTGCCTGCCAGACACTGGGTCCCAGTCCACCTTTCTGGGCTGGGCACATCCCTCCCCCTCAGGCTGCTGGCCTTCCCACCACTCCACCTCCTGCCCCTCTGTCCTCTGGGAATCCCAGATCCACCTCCCGCTCCAGGCTTTTCCCCCTGGTCCTCATTTCCTTTGCACGTTTGGCATTCGCTTCTCCGTGCCTGTATACAAATCTGCAGACACGCACTCCATTGGTGGCCCTGCCCTCCCCACTGTAACCTCCCCACGGCTGGCACTACTTGCATTTTGCCTTGGGCCTCCAGCTTCTAGTACAGGGCCTGGCCCCCAGCAGGTACGTGGGAGCCTCGTGATTTCCCTCCTCTTGGCCACGATGACCAATGGGGCCTCGATGATGATGCCCCCTTAGCCACTGCAAGCCCTAAGGCAGGAGCCGGGTCTCTCACCTCCCACCATCTTGAGCACGGTCTGGGGGGCTCTGGAGACTAGAAGATGCCTCCATCGGGCACACAGGGCCACCCACACGCAGGCGCACTCACCCGTCTCTCTCGATCTCGTTCCCAAGGCGCTCCATAGTCTCTCTCCCGACCCCCAGGCCCAGACAGGTTCTGGGGGCCCCCAGAACCCGGTTCCTTCCATCGGCGCCGCCGCTCTATCCCATAGAGTCCTGGCTGGCTGTGTCCAGACTCCGACATGGCACTGCCTAGGGAGAAAAGAGGGAAAATTGGGGGTCCTCCCTGAAGCAGTGTACAGGGCCCCCAGAGAACCCCAGAGGTTCCTGGACCTGGGAACTGAGAAGGGAGTTCACCCACCTCTAGGAATCTCAGACCAATCACTAGCTCTGGGAGGTCACATCAGCCTGGAATGCCCACGTCCTCAGCACCCCTGCCCTGGGGATGGTGAGAGGGGCAGCGGAGAGCTCCTCCCCGATCCCTCACTTGAGGTGGCGACCATCTCAGCCCTTCTACCTGGCTGCACTTCCGGCCTTCATCTGTGCTGGGGACACTCTCCTGTCTCAGCTTGTTAGCGTTGTCCCTTCCGTCAGACCGGGGGCTCCTTGAAGGCAGGGGCTGTCTCCTGCCTTCCTTTATATCCCCAGCGCTTAGCACAGGGCCTGGTTCACAGTAGGTGTTTAATATATGCTTATGGATGGACTGACCTCGTGCAGGAGGAAGGCGACCTGCCTTTTAGGCCCAGCTCTGCTACCTTGGGAAGTTCACATTCTCTTACGTACCCCCATCACCATGGCACAGTTCTTCACACACAGTAGGCACTTAACAAATGTTTACTGAATTATGAGGAGCCATGATAATGGGGTAGCTTGGGTGGTGCAGTAGAGAGTCAGGAGGACCTGAGTTCAAACCTGGCCTCAGACACTTACAGCTGTGTGACCCTGGGCAAGTCACTTCACCCTGTTTGCCTCAATTTCCCCATCTGTCAAATAAGTTGGAAAAGGAAATGGCAAACCTCTCCAGTATCTCTGCCAAGAAAACCCCAAACGGGGTCATGAAGGGCCTGATACGACTGAATAACAAATAATAATGAGGGGGGGTGTCCCAGAGGAACTTTGGCAATTCACAAAAGATATAAGGGAACCCTCCCCTTATCCTCTTAACCAGGGGCTCCTCTGCATTCCTCACGTGAAGGACCCCACCATGGGCTCGGGTGTCCATGGCCACGCCCACCCACAGGGCATCATTTCTACACCCCAGTGTACAGTGACAGCCCCTTACCACGTGATGCCGGCAGTGCATTCTGAACACCATGGGACCGACCCCCTCCCCCACAGGGGGCCCCCCCCCTTCATTCCCCGCCACCCACCATGTCTGCCCCCGCCCCTGCAGACCCTCCATTTGAAGCCAAGGGCCCCGTCCAGCCACCTCTTGGGGCTCCTCCATCGCGCCCCTCCCCCCTTAACTGCCATTAGAGTGTAAGCGCCTTGAGGGCAGGGGCTGATTTTCTTTCTGCTGTCATCTGCATTCCCAGCGCTCAGCGAAGAGCCTGGCACACAGTAAGCGCTTAATAAATGCTGGTCAACTTGACACCTCGCTAGCCACCATTCTTTATGCTTTTCACAGATGACGAAACTGAGGTCCAGGGCCGTTAAGTAACTTGCCCAAGGTCACCCAGGTGGTGTCAGAAGCGAGATTCGGACCTGTGCCTCTCCCCACCCCCCTTAAGCACTTAGACGCCGGTTTCTAGGGGACAATAAGGGGGTGATGACCCCTTTCCCAATCACTTCCGGGTTGTGCTGCCAGCAATGGTGGGGGGCGGAAAGTTAATGGGGGCGGGCGCACGGAATCATGCACGTGCCGGGTGGGTGGTGCCCGCTCGTCCGCGCGCCTCGCTCTGAAGTGGAAGCCGATTGGCTCGCTGGCAGCCTCGCTCTGAAGTGGTAGCCGATTGGCTCGCCGGCGTTCGGGCCTCGGCGCGCGCCAGGATATGGGCGCGGTCCTCCCTGAGCTGGCCTCTGATTGGTCTTTTGATCCCAGCGCGAACGAGGAGAGGGCGGAGCCTCCTCTCTGAGCTGGCCTCTGATTGGCCGAGGCCAGAGTGTGTTGGGCGGCTCCCAAGGAGGGAGGAGGAGCCTGGCGCGCGCCCGCGGCGGGAGGAGCCCTTTCGCCCGCGCGCCGCCTGGCCCTTACCTGAGTTGGCCGCTGAATGGCGCCACGACCAGGGCGCGCACTTCTCCCGCGTCGGGCTATGAAGGGGCCCGTCACCGGCAAGTCAACGGAAAACGCTGGAGAGCGATGCTGCTGGCGCCCCGGAATCGGGGGGTGGGAGGAAAGGGAGGGGGGAGAAGGGGAGCGACGGCGAAGAGAGCACCGTCGCTAGGATGACGTCATCGCGCATGCGCTGAGGGTGCCGGGTGTGCGCCAGTATGAGGAACTACGCATGTGTCAACCTGGTCTTCAGCGGGGTATCGTTCCCCTCCCTTTCTCGGCTGTGTTCTCATCTGGCGCCACTACGCCTGCGCCCCGGAGGGGGCGGGGTTCGGGTTGGGAGGTTGTCTTCGCTGACTGGTGGCAAGTTCGAATTCCTCCGCGGGTGCTTGGTGGGGATCGGCTACCGTATAAAAGCATTCAGGTTAGAAGGGCCTTGAGGGTGGGCTTCTGAATGAAGTCCACCCTCAACACCTCGTCTTGGAAGCCTCCCCGAATGACCCTGGTTTGGGGCGCGGGGCCCAGGGACCGCCTTCACTTGTAGATCTGGAGGGAGGAGCCTCCGTGTCCACCCCCCGCCCAAGCACGGAGGCCTTCCGGGTCACTGGGGGGTCACGACCCGTGGTTGGGGAATGGCTTATCACCTGCACCCTTGCTCTCAGTTTCCTGGTGTCAAATGAGAGGGTTGGCTTGGAAGGAAGCTCTGAGCCCTGACATTCCCTGTTCTAAGGGCCCTCCTGGCCCTGACATCCCCTGTTGGGAGGGACCTCCCGGCTCTGGCAATCTATCATATATTCATTGAAGAAGTATTAAATGTGTAGGTCTTCTGTTTGAGATCCTATGCTTAGCACTGGGGATACAAAGATACAGTGGCAAGGTGCTTAGAATCTAATGGGAAAGATATACACAAATAACTGTAATGGGAGAGCATTAGGAACGGATAAAGGAAAGCTGAAACAAGACCTTGCGTGGCATGTCAGCTGGGAGGGGCCTGAGAACGTGGAATGTCAATTAACAAGCTTATATGAAGCTGTTTCTGTGTGCCAGGCACAGTGCTAAGTGCAGGGGATTCAAATGCAAAAAGTCCTTGTTCTCATATGACATACTCTGAAGGGGAGACTTGTAAATAACTGAATGTGTGCAAGATAAAGTCAGTGTAAATCAAGGGTAATCTCAGAGGAAGGCACTAATCATGGGACTTGGGATGTTTGTGGGTACACACACACACACACACACACACACACACACACACACACACATACACATGAAAGGCTTTTTGCAAAAGGCTATATTTGAACGGAGCCTTGAAGGGAGCCAAGAGGCAGAGGTGAGGAGGAAGAGCATTCCTGGCATGGGGTGGGTCAGCGAGAAGGCATGGAGAGTGGAGGTGTGTCTTGTGTGAGGAGCATTAGGTTGACCAGTATTGATGGGTCATGGAAGGTGGGAAAGTAGTAAAAAGACTGGAAAGGCAGGAAAGAGCCGGGTCATAAAGAACTATACATGCCAAACTGATGGTTTTATAAAGAGCCCTGGAGTTCACTGGGTAGGAGGTCACATGGTCAGACCTGTGCTTTAGGAAAATCTCTTTGGTAGCTGAGTGGAGGATGTGTTGGAGGGGGAGGGCCTTCCAGCAGGAAGACCACTCAGAAAGCTACTACAAGGTCAGGGGCGGGGGGCTCCTCGAGAGCCAGTCAGGCTATGCAGGCAGGGCATGGAGTGCTAAACTTATAGTCAGAAAGACCCTCATTCAAACACTGTGTGATGCTGGCCAACTCATTTCACAGCTGTCTGCCTCAGTTTCCTCATTTGTAAAAGGAAGATGAAATAGCACCTACCTCCCTGGGTTGTTGTGAAGTTCCAATGAGAACATTTGTAAAGCAATTTGTAAATCTTAATAAATGGAAAGAACTACCGCATGAAAAATCAAAAGTGAATGTTGCCAAATTTTAAAGAATAAGCCCAGCTCAAAAAAAGAGATGAGACACTCCTATCCCTTGGCAGAATTGGGAGGGCCACAAACATTACATATATTTTCTGATTTTTTCAATATATTCTTCAGTTGTGCTGATTTTTTTCCTCATTTTTTTTATCTTAAAAATACTCTTTGTTGTATAAAATGGCAGTCTTTGAGGGGAAGGAAGAGTGCTACTGTGGGAGGAAATGGTAATGTAAAAAAAAGACTAATAAAGCCTTTTTCAAATAGAAAACTATTTCAGGAGCCTGAACTAGGGTTCTAGCTGTGTGAGTTGTGACAAGGTGGGGTATGGACATGTTAGGAAAATCTAAACAAGATTTACAGATTTGTTATGTGAGGGGAGTGAAAAGTGATGAGTTGAGAATGACAGGTTGTAGGCTTGAGTGACTGGGGGGGCGGGATGGGGGTGCCCTCCACTGTCACAGGAGAGTTGGGAAGAGAGAATGGTTTGGGGGGAGGGGGAGAATGAGTTCTGCTTTGGATGTTGTGAGTTTGAGATGCCAATGGGACACCCAATTTGAGATGTCCAAGATGCAGATGATGTGGTGTAACTGCAGCTCAGGAGACAGACTAGGGCTGGATATCTATCTAAAACTGGGAAGTGTCTACAGAGATAATAGTTGAACTCTTGGGAGGTGATGAGATCACCAAGGAAGCAAGAATAGAAGGCAAAGAGAAGAGGGCCCAGGACAAAACCTTGGCTAGGGATGTGCTAGGAAAGATTTAATCACCAATTGGTGCAGAGGGGGAATGTATGAATGACATACTTTTAAGTTTAATTTGCATATTAACATTTTCCCATCACTTAAGTATAGAAATGAACAAAACAACAGATCAAGCCCTGATCTTGTAGTGTTTGATGATGCTCTCCATAAACATTTAACAATCAGCTCTTTCCAGTTCAAGCTGCCTCCAGCATGCCCCTAGGGGATACTCCTGGTTTGTGGTCATCTTATGGAAAGAGAATCAGCAAAGGAGCCTGATATGGAGTGGTCAGAAAGACTGGAGAACCAGGAGGAATCAGTGTCAGAAAAACCCAGAGAGGGGAGTGTATGTGGGAGGAGAGTTACTCACAGAGCCAAAGGCTGCACAGAGGTCAAAAAGGACGAGGACTGAGAAAAGGCCAATGGCTTTGGCAATGAAGAGATCAAATCTGAAAGGGGCTTTAGAATGTAGAATGTGAGAGGGACTTTAAAATGTGGAGTATAGGAGGGAGCCCTTCTGTGGGAGGTGCTGTAGAAGCCGATATGTTGGTCAGTAATCCTTGAAATCCCTTCCCTTGGCCACCATCCAGGGAGACCAGGCGGCCTTCAAGGTGTGTCCTAGAGATACTGGGCTGATAACTTAGGGCTGGGTAAACTGGGGAGGCCATAGTCTGAAAAGCAAACATTTCTAGAGAAAAGAGGGAGAGCCTTGGCCATGGATGGGGGGTGGCGTGGATTGGATCTTTCCCGAGTTCTTGTTCCTGTACTGGCATTGATTTACTGGATGACGTTGGGAAAGTCAGTTTCTCAGATTTCTCTCTTGTAAAGTGAAGAGGTTGGCCTGGTTGGTCTCGAGCGTCTTCCCTGCTCTGGCATCCTGTGTTCTCTGTCCAAAAGGCCCTTCCTGCTCTACAATCTATGTTCTTACATCCCTTTTATTTATTTTACTTGTATCTCCAGCCCTTATCACAGATGTCTGGCTCATAACAGGAACTTAATAAATGTGTGTGGATTGATTGATTTTGTGTAGGAACTGGGGCTGTTTGGTTTGGAGAAGAGAAGGCTCAGGGAGGGATGGGAGCCCCGGCAGTTGTCACCGATGTCAGCTGGAGAAGAGATTAGATTTGTTCTGCCTGGCCTCTAGGGCTGAACGAGAAGCTGAGTGGGAAGAGTTACAGGGAAACTTTGTGCTGGGAGCTCGCCCAGAGGAGCAGAATCTTGTCATTCTAGACAAACCTGAAGCTTCTGTAGCCCAGGTGTCAGACTCAAAAAGAAATCGGGCTGCTCAGCCCTACTTGGGGATCCCTGTGGGCCCACGCTGACTTAGAAAACCACATGTTGTATTTTTATGTATTTTGTTAAATCTTTCTGTTACATTTTGATCTGATTACGTTGGCACAATGCAGTCTAGAGGCCAGCGTCCGACACTGCTGTACAGTGCACCCGGTTAACAAGTTGTCCTCCAGCCTTGACGCGAAGGCCTTCCTTGAGAAAGAACCCACCCGTCCTGCGGTGGCCCATTCACTTGGGGGCAGTGCTCCTTGTTAGGAACCTTTCCCTGTCAGCAAGCCTGTATTTGCTTCTAGTACCTTAAACGGATTACTTGGGGCCAAGGAAAACAAAGGAGTGGTGGTGGGGTGGGGTGATCTTTCCTTGAGTTCAGATCTCAGTTCTGGCCTTAATCTTCTGGATGACCTCAGGAAAGTGAATATTCCTCTGAGCGTCAGAGATTTTTTTACATGTAAAATGAAAAAGTTGGGCTAGATGGTTTCTTAAATTTCTTTCTCTTCTTGCTCTTACATCCTATATTCGTCGTTCACAGGGTCCTTCTTGTATAGGAACTGGGGATGTTTTATCTTGGACAAGAGAAGTGTGGGGAGGGGGGTGGGGCATAACATGGTCCCTGCCTTTAAGTATTTGATCCGTAGACTTCTTGAGAAGAGCTTAGATTTGCCTTGATTGGCCCTGGGGAACAGAGTAAAAAGCAACGTGCAAAACATTGGAGAAAAGCGGTTTAGATTGTAAATTCACTAATTCACAGAATCTTACAACTGGAAGGATGTCAAAATCCTGACATCTCTTAATATTTTTTTGTGTGTGTCATAGACCTTTTTCTGGTGAAACCTGTGGACCCCTTAGAATAATGTTTGCTGCCTACATTTATAATGGAAGGAAATGCTAATTTCAGCTACAAGTTAGTGGAATGAAAGATGTAATTTTTTTTCATCAAGTTCATGGACCCTCTGAAATCTGTCTCCGGCCTCAGGTTCACAACCCCTGTCCTGGACCAACTGAACCCTCTGTATCCCAGGCAACAAGTGGTCCTTCGACCTTTGCTTGGGGGAACCCACCCCCATTAGCTCCAGGCTCTTCGCTTTGGGGCAGCTCTGATGGGGAGGATGGTTCTCTTGATGTCAAACTGAAATCAGCCTCTGTAACTTCCCTCCACTGCTCTTTGTACATCCCTCAGGCCAAGACAAACAAGGGGGCAGCATAAGGTAGGGCAGCCCTTCCCTAAGGTCTAACTCCTATTCCATTATCAATTTACTGGGGAAGGGTCAGCTAGGTGGAGCAGTGGATAGAGCACCGGCCCTGGAGTCAGGAGAATCTGAGTTCAAATCCGGTTTCAGACACGAGACACTTACTAGCTGTGTGACCCTGGGCAAGTCACTTAACCCTGATTGCCTTGTAAAAAAACAAACACAATTATTGGGTGGCCTTAAGAACCTTACTTTCCCTCTCCAGCCCTCATATATCTCACCTGTAAAAAATGAAGATCCTGGATTAGAGGGTCTCTGATCTTGGATATTTGAAGGTCCCTCCCACCTTTGACATTCCATGTTCTCCTTCCTCTGACATTCTCGGTTGTCCTGTTTACTTTTGTCCATGTCTTACTCATTCTCCTTTGTTTTCTTTACAATTGAGAGTTTCAGAGATGGGGGGTGGGGCTTAGATATCACCTAGTCCATTTTATTTTATTTTATTCTTTGGCAGTTGGGATTAAGTGACTTGCCCAGGGTCACATAGCTAGTAAGTGTCAAGTATCTGAGACTTGATTTGAACTCAGGTCCTCCTGACTCCAGGGCTGGTGCTCTATCCACTGTGCCGCCTAGCTGCCCCCCTAGTCCATTTTACAGATGGGGTCAGAGACCTCATCCTAGTGAGGTGACCTAAGCAAATAATGGGGGTGCCTTTGGGACCACCCCAATGTCTTCATTGGTCTATTTCATTAACTCCTTTCTCAGGAACCTTGGTTGATATAATGGTAGTAAAGCCAGACTTAGATGTTTTTCCTTAAAGGGAATTTGACCAACATGGGTAGCCCCACCTGCCCCTAGTGGTCTGTAATATGTTAATGATATTGATTAGCAATCACTCAGTTTTGATGCTTTATGATTCTCCAAATCTCTTCTCCCTCTCTCATTTCACAGAGTTGAAGGGACATTGGGGAACATCTAGTCCAATCCCTTACCTGAGCAACATTCCATGTATGACCTTGGGCAAGTCCCTCTCCCTAGGCCTCATTTTCCTCACCTGTGAAAAGGGGAGGGCAAGACTGCACAGTACCTTCTAGTGCCAACATTGTACAATATCTTTGTCCAGCCTGAGCTTGAATATCTCCATTGACAGTTAATTTACTATTTTAACATTGCTAGCATTATTGGGTCATAGGGTGGAAGGGACCTTGGAAGTTATGGAGTTCAGCCCCCTCATCTTACAGGGGAGGGAGCCAAGGCCCAAAGGGATTTGCTCAAAGTCACTTAGTGTGAGTCAGTGGCAGTGGTGGCCTGAAACCTAGGGATCCTCACTCTGTGTCTGCCTCTGCCCTTCAGAGACAAGGTCTTTGTTGGCATTGGGAGGCCGGAAGTGCTTTAAAGGAAGGAACACCATCTCCCTGTTCCTTAATATTAACTTTTATTACAAAGTGGGGCCGAGGGAGGGGGGAAAGGAGAAAGCTGGGACGCTTTGGCCAGATTCCCCTCCAGGGGCTCAGGCTGCCCACTTTCCCTTTGCTGTTCCCACTAGGGGGTGCCCCAGGCCTCCATGTACCTGGCAGCTTGTCGCTCCTGGAAGCCTCTCCCCACCTCTGACACTGGATCCTTTTAGCTCTTCAACTGTCCAGCAGCGGCTGAGGACAGGGACCTAAGTGTCCAACTCTCTCAGTTCTTGCTCAGCTTGGGGAACCAGCTCTCTCATCCTCTTGTCCCTGGCAGGGACCTAGGCATCCAGCCACCTCCCACTCCACAGACCCAGGCATCAGGGCTTCCAGGGAATAATGAGAGCTGTGGCCCTACCAGGGATCGAGGAACTTGGCCTCCAGCTCCTCCCTCCTCCCCAGGGTCTCCCCTTCCTTCTGCTCCTTAGTTGTGGTGTGACTTGGAGAAGGCCTGTGGTCTGTAGCTCCTGGGTTCCTTGACTCCCCAGCCCTGTAGCAGCTTTGAAAGTCACCCCTTCCGTTGCTTGGGTGAGCGTGGGTACCCCTGGCTCAGCCAGGGACTGTAGCAGCTGTTGGAGAGAGGGACTTCCCTAGACTTGGGTCCCTTCATAATGCTGATGAAGTGAAAGGGGATGACCAGCTTGTCCCCTGGGGCTGAAGGAGGTAGATTCCCTCTTCATAGTCCCTTGGGAGAGAGAGAGAGAGAGAGAGAGAGGGAGAGAGGAAAGTTAGGTACACACATACTCTTAGTGAAGTAAAAAAAAACAAAACAGAAAAGCACCCATTTGGACAAAGACAAAAAATACACCTTATCACACATATAGAAAAGCAGAGAAAGCTGTGTGACTCCGGGCAAGTCACTTAACCCCATTGCCTAACTAAAAAAAAAGAGAGAAAAGGACAGCACAGTAAGAGAGACAGTCAGACTCAGAGTCAGGCAGAGCTTCACACAGAGGAAGGATTCCTTTGAGCAGCCAGAGGCTGGGAGAAATCATATTTCCTCTCCCTATTCCACATGGAGAAGCCCTCTCCTTCTCCCCCATTCCCACCCCCACCTTTTTGCCCAGAAGTGGCTTGGAAGAAGGCACAGCCTTTGTAAAGGCAGGATTTGAGTGATGGTCAGGCCTGGGTGATTCTGGGGCAGAAGCCACACTCCCTACTTGGCACTGAGCTCCCATCAGAGCTCTGCTCCATTGGCCTCTAATCCTCCTTCTGAACTGTATCGAAGGCTGCCTTCCTGTATGAGCTGAGCGCTCTGACTGCACCTAACCTGGATGTGCCTGGGGACCCTTTCGGGCCGGAGTCTCCTTACCAACTATGTGGCCTCCCTGGGTGCTGGGGGCTGCCCAGGTTCTAAGGCTGCACTGAGGAGTTGGGTCAGGGTGTCAAGTTTCCCCCCTAGTATATCCATTCGCTTCTCCAGGTCTCTGTGGGAAGTGCTGAGGCCAGATTGCAAGTCACACAGGATCATGTGCATCTGAGGGAGGGGAAGAGGTAGGTTTATCAAGAGGTGCAGGGGCCAAAGAAGGCTTTCCCATGATGCCTCTGTCCTACTAGCGTCTGGTCCCAGTCCTGTCCCTCTGATTCCAGTCCCTCTATACTTCTCTCTCCCCCTCATCCTTCTGTCCCTCCATTCCTGCATCCCCATTCCCCTGTACTCCCTGATTCTGTCCCCCATCTCTCTATGCCTTACTCCTTTGTGTCCCACATCCCTCCATCTCCCCATTCCTCTGTCTCCTGGCCTCTTCATCCCCCATCTCACTATCTTTATGTTGCTCTTTCCAGTATCTCTGCATATTTCTGTCCTCTGCCTTACCTTCGAGATGTCCACCATGGAGTTCACTTGTTCTTGGAGCTTCCGATGTTTTAAGCGCACCTGACGGAATCTGCATGAAGATAAGTGACGTGATTGGCTCTCATGGCACCTCCAGGCCCTTCCATACCCTGCTTCAGCCCTGTGCAGTTCATCACCGTCCTCACTCCAACACCAACCCCACCCTCATCCCAGGAAGTTGCACACACACTCATACGCACTCATACACACACACAAACTCACACGCACACACCTATAGCTTCCCCTGTCCCCCTGCTCCTACTGCCTCAGCCAGGCCTCACGTGTGGATGGCAGCTAGCAATTTCCGTTGGTGTCTCCGGGCAGCTTCAGACTCCTTCCTTCTACTGTGTTTGTAGAACATCCAGGCCTCTTGGAGCACTTGGGCTGCAGAATCCCTCATCTTTTGGAAAAGCACAGCTGCAGTGGGTGCTGGCAGCCCAAACTCCAGGGTCTCTAAGGGCACTGGGACCTGGGGTGTTAGGACCTTTGGGTCCCTGAGAGGGTTGGGTCAGGCCTGGAGGATCAGGATAGCTGGATCCTATCCGAGGTTTGGAAAAACTGGATATCTGGGTCTGGAGAGGCAGGGATTTGGGGGGGGCACCGATGTTCTCACCTCTTTGGTGTACTGAATGTCCATCATGAAGTTGTGGACATGTTTCTCCGCTTTACTGAATTCCAGCTTTCGGGCCACTACAGCCACTAGGAGAGCTGTGCAGCACACGCCCTGTGAGCAAGGGAAGAATTCAGGAGTATGTTGGGTTGTGTGTCTGTGTATGTGTGTGAGAGAGAGAGTATGAGTGTGTGTGTGTGAGAGAGTGTGAGTGTGTGTGTGTATGTGTGTGGGGTTAGGTTTTTTTTTTTTTTTGGTAATGGAGCCTTGGACAAGGTGTCTGGATCTGTGGATTCTGGTCTCAGTTTCTTCATGTCATTTCCCCTTTGGGGCCTCACTTTCTCTACTCGAGGACTTCAGCTCCCTCCCAGCTGATATTCTCTGTTCTGGTCCCTTCCAGTTCTGACATCCAGGCAAATAAGCAAAGACCTGTATCCCTCAGAAAAGCCAGGGGTAAGGGATGGGCGTCCTCAAGGGGACTTACCATAACCCCTGTGCAGAGACAGACGATCTTCCCCCACACGGTGCCCGGAACCACGTCCCCGTAGCCGATGGTCAGGAAGGTGATGGGGATGAGCCAGAGAGTGTCCGTCAGGTGCCCAGTGGCATTGATTGCCTGCCTGGGGAGGGAGTTGGTGGGAGGGGAGCAGGGAAGGCAAGGTGAATTTGGAGCCTTTGCCCTGGCTCCCATGATGCCTTGGGGGATGAGCCTCCCTTTGGCTCTCTTCCAAATGCCTTATATGTCCCCACCTCCTGAACTGCCCCAAAGTTCTCAAGGCCCCTAGGTCTAGTAGATGTTCCATTCCTTTTCTGCTCTGGTCCTAGAACCCTGAGGAACTATAATTTGGGGTTCATAATGTGCTTCCCCTTGAATAGGGCCTGTGTCTTTGTAACTCCTCTTCCTGTCCTGCCCCCGCCAGGTGTGTGTGTGTGTGTGTGTGTGTGTGTGTGTGGTGGGGTAACACCTCCATGGAAACCATCTGTGTTCAGGTGCATCCCCCTCCCAGCTGTACCTCCCTCTCAGTATGACCCTGGAGCAGTCACTCGGCCTGCATAGGTCTGTGCGAGGTGCTGCTGTGCCTCTCTAGCTTCCTTTCCTCCAAGATCTTCATCCTTCAAGGACTACCTGAAGTTGCTCTTCCTGCTTCCTGACTCTTACAGCCTGGAAGAGTGTGTTCACTCTTTCACTCAGAGGCCGAACCACTGCTAATGTCCTCAACTCTGTCAATTCTCCACTAGACTAGGAACCAGTCATCAACTGGGGAGGAGGTCTTGCCTTCTGTCTCCCTTGGGACTCACAGGTGCTGACATAAATGCTCTTCCTTGCACCCATCTTACAGATTGGAGAGGGGTAAGAGTAAATTCCTTACTCAGTTGTCCAGCAACTCAGTGGGATCACCCAGCCAGGTGCCCAAGTCTTTAACATTTCTGCTCCAGGTCCCGCCCCCTAGGTCTAGTAGACATTCCATTCCTTTTCTGCTCTAGTCCTAGAACCCCAAGGAATTATCATTTGGGGTACACAATATGCTCCCCCTTAAATAGGGCTGTGTCTTTGTAACTCCTTTTCTTGTCCCCCCCCCAAGGTGTGTGTGTGGGGTGGGGTGGGGGGATAACACCTCCATGGAAACCGTCTGTGTCTAAGGGACGAAGCATCCCTCTGAGCAGAGGGTCTGTGGGTTTGGGGGACTCCCAAATCCCTTTTGCCTCTTCCCAGCTCTGCCTTGAGGGCCCCTAGGCACTGCTGCCTCTCGATTGCGGAGGCCCCTCCAAAGTGTCATCTGGGCTTCTGGGAAGACACTTTACTCTCAGCTCCAGGTGGGGGAAGTGGTCGCTCCCTCTCCTGCCCCATCCCTTCCTGTCCCTCTGTGCCAGGAGCCCCTGCTGAGCTCACCTCTCGGCCACGGAGAGCACCCAGGCAGTGGTGAGCCAGAGGCCTAGGGTGAGGGCCAACAGAAGCCGGCCTGGGTGCGTGTTCATGTACAGCTTGGCCACGAACCAGTGTCGGAAGTGCACGCGGTTGAGGGCTCCGATGCTGCGGTAAGAGGCGTTGAGTAGCACGCCGCTGCTGAGCAGCACTGCCCGGGGCACCAGGTAGAGGCGCAGCAGCATAGCTAGCGACAGCAGAGCCTCGGCCTGGCTCAGAAAGACTGGCCGGGGGCGCGGCTGGAGCAGGCACTGAGAGGCGTCCCATGCCCCCAGCGGGGGTGGGTGCGCCCCGCACACCAGCAGTTCCAGCACGATCTGGGCCACATGGCGCTTGGTCAGCGCCACTCGCCAGTCGTGAAGCTCGTTGTCTGTCATGAAGAGCTGGGGGGAGAGCGAGGGTGAGAAGTGCCGGCCCCCAAACCTCCGATAAAGAGCCTGGGTCTGGCTTATCACTAGGGGCGAGGAGGAGGAGGAGGAGGAGGAGGAGGGAGGAGGGAGGAGGGAGGGAGGGAGAGCTCGAGCGGAGGCTCCGAGCGCCCTCTAAGTCACGGGGGGAGGAGGAGGGGAGACCCTCGAACAAGAATACTTCCACTCTCTGGGTGTTAGTTTCCTCATCTGTAAGATGGGGAACTGGGAGTGGGTTAGTCTCTGCCCCCCGCCCCAGATCTGAGCAGCTTTGAATCGTTGGGGAGGGAAGCCGAGGCCCCGTTTCTCTTCTCCCACTCCCATTTTCTCTTTCTTCTCCCTTCATTCAACCCCCTTCAGCCCTGTCCTCTCTCCACTCTCCCATTACTCTTCTCCTCCCTTCACCCATCTTCCTTCTCTCTCCCTCTTCCTTCAGCTCTCTTATCTCTCTTCTTGTTCTTCAGCCCTCTCTTTTCTCTCTCCCTTTTTTGTTCTCCATTTAGCTATGCCCCCCTCCCCTTCAGCCCTCTCTTCTCTTCCTTTCTGCCTTCTCCCTTTCCATCTCTCTTCAAACTCCCCTCTTTTCTTCAACCCTCTCTCCTTTCCTTTCTTCCTCTCTCTACCTCTAGCCTTTTCCTCCCCCCCTTTCCTCTTTTTCTTCTCCTTTCCTTCCCTCCCTTCCTCTCTCCTCCTCTCTTCTTCTCTTCTCTCCTATCCATGGAAAGAACCACAGGGCTGTGGTTCAGGATGGAGGGTGTGTGTTGGGGGGGGTGATAGAGAGGCTGGAGAGCAGGATGCCTGGGGCTCTGGGGGCAGGGGAGTCTCTGTCAGGGCGTGGACCCTTACTTGCCACCCTTCCCATTAGTCACTGGTCTGGGCAGGCGGGGAAACCCCTGACAGAGGAAGAAGAGAAGGAGGATGGAAAGATTGAGGTGGCCCAGGCAGGGCTGGGAGGGGCTGAGGGGAGCAGGGATGGGGGCCATGGATGCATCAGGCTTACCTACCTGAACCTCCTTAGCATGGAAGGCCAAGATGAGCCCGAGGAGGACAAAGGTGGAGATGCTGATCCCACATTTCACCAGGAAGAGATAGGGAACCCACTATGGGGATATGGGGAAGGTCAAAGACAACTCTCAGGGCCTGCCATAGTTCCTTAGGAGGGTGGACTTCCTACTTTCTCCCCTTTACCCCCCCCCCCACTCCTGACTCTGGGGGCTTTTAGCAATTACCATTTGGTTATCATAGACCAGCGGTGGGGAGCCTGCAGCCTGCAGGACACATGTGGCCCTCTAGGTCCTTGGGTGCTACCCTTTGAATCCAAACTTCACAGAACAAATCCTTTCATTAAGGGGATTTGTTCTGTGAAGTTTGGATTCAGTCAAAGGGCTGTACTTGGGACCTAGAGGGTCACATGTGGCCTTGAGGCTAAAGGTTCCCCATTCGTGTCATAGACAGTACCTTTTTCCCCTTTAGAGGGCTGGTTCATATTGCATCCCTCCCCTACCCCTGTGCCAGTTTTTTTTCCTGCCCCCTGAGTACAGGGGACTCTGTGTGTGTGGGGGGGGGCTGGGGAGGATTCTCTACTTTAGGTTCTTCGGAATTACCCCTTTCCCTCCTCACTACCAGTCACACGTCCCTGATTCTCTTTCTCGGCCTTCCCCTTCCTTTCCCAATCTTACTTCTTCCTGCCTCTTGGGGCCCCAAGAAACCACCATTCAAAATTTAATGAAACCCCTGCCCAGTGGCTCTGAGGGTTAAGGCTGTATCCCTGACCCCCCCCAATCCCTTTCTCTTTCTATCCACAATCATTCTGTCCCCTCCCCCCAAGAGTTGCCTCAGGTCCAAAATCCACTGTTCAATGCCCAGAGAACAGTGACACCTTGCCCCCTTATCCCCCAGGCATCTAGAAACCACTGTTCATAGTATATCATTACCGTTCTGGTAATCCCCCACCTTCTGCTCTAGGGTCTCCTAAAAACTACCATTCAGAATCCAGAAACCTCTACCTTCTTATCTAGGGGTCCCTGGAAACCATTATTTAAGTCAACCTGCATTTATTAAGCATTTAATTTGTGCTTAATAAAGCAACTCTCCCCCCACCCCACCTTCAGAATCTTAGCTCTAGAAGAGGCCTTAGAAATGCTTAGTCTGATACCCTTATTTTAAGAATGAGGAAATGTTGACTAGAGATGAAGAAAACTGAGGCTAGAAGTGGTTTTCCCAAGGTCACATGTGCAAGAAATGCCTAAGCCCAGACAAACCCAGACAAACCTCCTGACTGAGCCTGAAACACTTTGCTCTACTTTGCTCCAGAAACCATCTTTACCAGAAACATACCTTACCCCCCGTGGGTTAGGGGCACCCCTTGGGCCCAGACCCTATTCCCCCTCCTTTTCCTCCATCTCCCAGTTCATCCTTCCCTGTCCTGAGCTGCTCCCTCCCCCCACTCTAGGGCCCATCCCACCAGCCTGGCTTAAGGCCCGGATTGGGCTCAGGGGCCGGAAGCCTGAGTCCTCCAGTAACCACAACTGAGTGTATATTTTCTCTCTTTGGCAACACATTGAAAAATTCTCCGAGGAAGAGGGCTGGAGAGATCAGGAGGTCCAGGTCCCTGTGGGGGATGGGGGAGATTAGGACTCCTCCGTCCTGGGGTCGGGGGCAAGGTGCTAAAAGAATCGATATGTGAGTCACTTAAGGAAAAGGGATAGGGGATCAGACTCTTGGTATTCTCAGGCGGCAGCAGCACCTGTTTCTTTCCAAGCTGCCCAACCCTGGTCCCTGCCTTGATTGGCGACCTTTGCCAGCTTCCTGTCCCAGCCTTCCTCAAGGGAACAATGGGGCTGTTGTCCCCCCAGCACCCCCACTCCCCAAGAACAGGCTGTGCTCCCTCCTTCCCTGTCATCAAGGCTGCCTTCTGGCCCCCTCTGTCTGTGTCTGCCATCTCTCATCCAGCTCCGTGTCTCACTGACTTTCTATCCCTTTCACCCCCTCGGTGTCTGTTATCCATGTCATCGCCTCTTACTATGTCTTTAGGTCTTTGTCTCTGTGTCTTTTCAGGCATCTCCATCTCCGCTTGCTCATATCACTCTGTCTCCAACGCCCAATCTCTGTTCTCTGTGTCTGTTCCAGTATGTATTTCTATGATGTCTTATTTTTCAGTGTCTAGAAGACTGTTTCAGTCTCTATCTTTCTCTGGGTCTCTGGCTACTTATGCCTATCTCTTTGTTTCTGTCTGTGTCTATTCTATGTGTATGGCTCCAGCCCCCTACCCTGACCCCACCACCATCCACTGTCTCTGATTACCCCACTTTGTCTCTGTCTCAGCTTGGGTCTGTCTATCCCTATCTGTCTGGCTGTCTCCACAACCTTCCCCATCTTTCTGACTTTCAGCCTTGGGCTCTGACTCTGTTTCTGTCTCTCTTTTTCTTCATCTCCTCGTCTTTCATTCATTTCATTTCATTAATGTTTCATTCATTGTCTTTCCCTGTCTGTATTTGTCCAGTTGTCTGGCTGTTTCCAATCTCCCTATTTCTCTATGTTTTAGACTACTGTATTTTGGTTTTGGTCTTTTTGATTGTCTCTGGATTTCTATATCTCTGTATTTCACCCTGTCTCCATCTATCCATCTCCATTTGTTTAATTCTGTATCTATCTGTGTCTGTTTGTCCTTCTGTATCTGTACATTCTCAATCCTTATATCTTTTTGTCTCTGCCTGGCTCTGTCGTGGTCTGTGTCTCTGTCTGTGTGCATTGCCTTCTGTCCATCTCTCTGACTGGCCCAGTTTCTCTGTCTCTTTCCCCCTGTAGCTCCACTTTCCCAAGTCAGTTTCAGATTCTTTCTCTTTATGTACTAGGATTTGTGGCCCTCCCTGAAGAACAGGGCTAGAGTCTCTGTAAGGGGAGAGGTAGAGTGGGCTCAGGCAGGGTGCTAGGGTACCTGGAAGAAGCTGTGTCCTCCAAGTTCCTCAAGAAGAGAAAGCCTGTAGAGACTTAATGTTCCCATTTTACAGATGAAGAAACTGAGTCCCAGAGTGGGAAATGTGTCCCCCATGGAGAGTCAGGAGACAGAGCTGGAGAGGGAGAAGCATGGTGTCCCAGATATGGGGTCTTCTAGGGTTCAAGGGATTGAGTCTCAATACTTGTGGGGGTCTCCTCTCAGGGGAGGCAGTCTGGAGGAGGGAGTGGGGGGTGCTCCCCTTCCGAACAGTGGGTGTGGGAGCCAGAGCGTGGGAGCAGTAGGTCGACTCCGGCCTTGCTTCCTGTTGGCACTGGTGGTGGGCCAGCCCCACCCCCTAGTGCCTGCCTGGCCCCCAGTCCACCCACCCTCCTGCCTGATGTTCTTATCAGGCTCCATGGCAGGAAAGAAGACAGACACAACTCTGAGCACCTTGGGTCTCCTCAGCCCAGCCACTCCATCTTCTGGAGGGGGGGGGGCACATCTCCCAGCTCTCCCCTCCCCCACCCAAATCTTCCCCTCTGTAATCCCCTGGTATCTCTAACTATCCCCAAGTCTGCCTCCAGCTCCCTCCTTCAGTCTTCTCCCTCCTATCCCCCACCCCCACACCACTGTCACAGGATTATAGAATCTCAGAGGCCAGCCATTTAGTCCAGCCTACACCTGACCAATAATAACTAACTAACCTCTGCGGTCTGAATGAGATCTTACCAAGTACTCCACATCCATGATCTCATCTGACCCTGGTCACCTCTCCAGAATACCCAAGTGGTCAGCCAGCTTGAAGATCTCCAAAGATGGGGAACTCATTACCTCCCCAGGCAGCCATTTTACTTTTTAGCACCTCTAATCATTAGGAATGTTTCCTGTTATGGAGCTGAAATCTACCTCTCTGTAACTCCTCTCCCCAGTGCCCCCCTCCCCCCAATGCCAGTGCTCTAGCTCTGCCCCTTGGAATCAAGTAGAGCAGGGTCTATCCCTCTTATCTCTAACAGCCCTCTGAGGACTTGAAGACAGTGATAATAATTCCCCTCCTTGAGGCTAAACATCTCCAGTTGCTTTGACTAATTCTCTCCTTAGTTCATTTCATCGTTCTGGTCACTCTCCTTTCTGATTTCTCAGTGTCTCCCAGAACAAAACCCAACCTTCCAGATGGGCTTTGACCTGGCCAGGGCATAGCAGGAATGTCCCCTCACTCATTCTGGACACAGCTTCTGTGTTAGGATCATGGTAGCTTTGAGGGTGCCATATCACATTGTTGATTCATGTTAAGCTTGCAGTCCACCAAGACCCCCCTTTTCTCCCTGAATTTCAGTCTAGCCACACACCTTAACTAGTCTCTTCTATACTTGTGAAGGTGACTTTTAAGCCTAAGTTCTTTACCTCCTATTAACTTTCACTAGATTACTTTTGGAGTTTAGGTCTAGCCTGTTGAGATCTTTTCAGATCCTGACTTTATCATCCAGTGTGTTGGCTATCCCTTTCAGTGTCACACCACGGACACATTTGATAAGCATGCCATTTAGGACTTCATCCAAGTCAGTGATGAAATAGAACAGGGCCAAGGACAGAGGTCTGAGGCCTCCAGTACAGACCTCCCTCCAGGTTGACATTGATCCATTAATTTGGAGCTGGTCATCGAACCAGTTCTAAGTTTATGTAAGTATGCTGTTGTTTCCATGTTTTACTAGCTAAGTCACAAAAATAACCCGAGAGACTGTGTCAAATGCTTTGCTGAAAGTCAGGTCCCCAGCTCTGTCCGCAATTTGACTTCCCCAGTTCCCTCCCTGAACTCTGTCCCCAGTTCTGCTTCCAACACACTCCTCAAACCCAGTCTCTAATTCCTTTCCCAAACTCTGCACCCAATGCCCTCTGTTCTCTATTCAGACCTCCCGCTTGCCCGGGTCTCTCCTAATACTTTTCTACAGTGCTGTGCCCTCCTGTCTCTCCCCTACTTTCTCATCATCCCACCTCCTATTTGCTTCAACAATATTTATCCGTTCATCCTCTGATCTGCCCTTCCCTCTCTTTTTCCCTGCCCTAGACACTATGGAATGTACCTGAGGCTTGCAGGGACCTGTCCCGGTTTCACCTGCCCTGGACTACATCGGCCTGATCCCACCAATCCCCACCCTTCTGAGGCCCAGGCTTCCTTCCCAACCCTCAATTCTCAACCCTCAGGGGACCATGTATCTTGATATTCTAGCATAGCCCCACCCTATTCGCTGACCGGGGCATCGGGGTCCCTCAATGGCAGACCCTTCGGGGATCCTTGCCCCCCTTAGGGTACCCGGGCTTCGGGATTTCCCAACACCTAACCTTCAGGGAGACAGGTATCCTGAGTCCCTTTGGAGACCCAGGCCCCAGACCTTCTGGAAGAATACCATGCCCTTTCCCCACCAGGGGAAGTCATTGAGGCAGCTGGTAAGAAGATAGCACAGAGCTGGGAAGCTCAGTCTGGGCTCTCTCGAGCGAGGTTCCCTGTTCTCTAGCCTGTCATCCCAGCCCAGCGTCCCGTCCCGCCCCACCGTTAGACCGTTAGATAAGGAGCTCAAACATTCCGAAACAAGTTACTCCCCTTCAGCATCTCAAGAAACAAATGCAAGGGGGACCACTGTCCCCTAGCTCTTTCCACACCGGGGTGTGGATTCCCTGAAGGACTGCTGTCCTTGTCCAGGTACCCAGGAGTCTTCAACTCCCGCCCGAACTTCCTCAGGAACCCAGACGTTCTGCTCCCAGGGCTTCCTCCTGAATCTTAGGCTGCCTGCTCATTCTGCTCGCTCCGGGGCCCAAGCGTTCTGAGCTCAAGCCCCTGCCCCAGGGTCTGCGCCCCCATTTACCTCGCATTGACCAAACCACAGCATCTCGGCGTGCAGCACCATCAGCCCGATTCCCGCTGCAGCCATTGCCAGAGCCCAGCCCGCCAGGCTCTTTTCCTCTTCCAGCAGCCGCTTCCGCCGCCTCAGGGCGCCTAGCCCTGGTACCAGCTCCATGGGCCTGGGGGCCTTGGGGCCGGGGAGACCTCGCCCCCAGGTCCCTGCGCTGCCTCCACCCAGCGCGCAGAGCGTCGCCAGGGCTGGCTCGGGAACTAGCGGGGAGCTAGGGAAGGAGCCAGCGGGGAGTCCTAGAGCCCGGGAAGGAGCCAGAGAGCTGGAGGTGCAGCCAAGAAGCCCGGGAGGGAACTGGGAGGGCGGGGCGGGTGCCGGGGGCACGAGGGAAGAAAGTTTAGCGAGAGCGCCGAGAGTACTCAGAGACAACTCAGAGAGAGCCTAGCAAGAGTCCAGCGAGAGCCCAGGGACCGCTACGAGACATCTCAGAGAGAACCCAGGGACCGCTCAGAGACAGTCAGAGAGAATCAAGAGACACTTCAGAGAGACAGCCTAGAAAAAGCGCAGAATCAAGGAAGGCGCCAGACAGAGGGTGCTCGGTCGGAAAGCAACTGCAAATGAGTGCCGTCCGGTGACTGGGGCCAGTGCCGTATCTGTACTCTGTACCAGCCAGAGGCTGAGACCTACAGGGCAGGGAGGCAGGGAGGGAGGGGCCTGGCCTAACTATAGCTGGTGGCTGCCAGAGAGGGAGGGGACAAGGAGGGGCTGAGGGTGACCTCCCAGCCTCTAGACACCCTCTCTCCCTCCCTCTGTCCTCTGGCCAGGGAAGTGCCAGGGGGTGGTAGAGGCAGAGAGGAGGAGGCAGAAAGTCTTAGCCTCATTTCACATGCGGCCACTGCGCACAGCCCACACACACTCAGAGTCAACTTCAGGGCAGAATCATAGAACGTTAGAACTGGAAAAAAACCGTGGACCATAGTCTGTCAGATCAATCAGTCAATCAACAAGCAGTTGTTAAGTACCTTCTGAGTACCAGGGACTCTGCTGGGCACTGGGGATATGAAAACAAAGAATGAAAAAGTCTCAATTTAAAAGGATGGCTAGGAACCCAAGAACAAAAAAACATAGAGTGTGTGAGCTAGAAAGGATCAAGTCAGGCTTGGAAAGAATCTTAGAACACAGAACCTGAGACTTGGAAAGAATCTTCAAACATAGAATGTCAGAGCTGGGAGGAAACTTAGAACATAGAATATCTCTCTAGACTGCGGGACCTTAAAACAGAATTTCCCAGGGAGGAGTGACCAAAGAACAGAGTGTCAGAAATGGAGGGGCCCTTCTATCCTAGAATGTCAGCTCCTCTTTTTAGCACCTGTAGTGTTACCAAGCTGACCCTTCTTATTTTTCAGTCATCTTACACATTATTCTCCCCCATCCACATATACACATTCTATAGTCCAGACACAATGACCTACTTAACTATTTCTCACACATGACTCTCCATTTCCTCTCTGTGCCTTTGCGTTGCAGTCGTCCATGTCTGGAGCACTCCCCCTCCTACATTCCACCTCCTAGAACCCTTACTTCCTTCTAGGCTTGGCTTGACAAGCACTTTTTGCATGAAGCCTCTTCTTACCATCCAGCAGCAGTGCCCTTCCTCTCCCTCTCTGTTTCTCTCCTTCCTTTATATATTTTTTGTATGAACATGTATGCATGTTTTCTGCCTTGTTTGAAGGGAAGCTCCCTGAGAGCTTACAAGAAGTGTTTCGTTTTCATCTTTTAATCCCCAGTATCTAACATAGTGCCTGGCACATAGCAGGTCTTTAATAAATGCAATTGGGTTGATTGATTGGACTATAGGACATCATTTCTAGGAGCAAGGGGAACTTTGGAATGCAGAGTCTTAGAACTGGAAGGAATCTTAGACCTAGAGCTGGAACTGGCACAGGATGACTGGGGCTTTGACTCAGGGTGCAGCAATAGGGGAGGGGGAGTCAGGTTTCTTCCAAAAAGCAGTTAAACCGGGTGGTTTTGATCAGTGGAGGACTCATTAGAGAGGAAATGCTGGCACCCTGGGGGAAGGAAGTTTGACCAAAAGCCTGCCCTGCCCTCCACCAAAAAGACGGTATCCAGTCAGGGTGGATCGGGTCAGAAGGACTTAGTCTTTTGGGAAAGCTGCTGTCCTTGAAATCAGGAAGACTTGAATTCAAAACCTGCTTTGGATGCTTGTTGACTATGTGACATTAGGCAACATTACTTCTCTGTGCCTCAATTTCCTTGTCTGTAAAATGAGGGGCTTGGACTGGATGGCCATTAAACCATCTCAGCCTTAATTTCCTCATCTTCGAGGTGAGTGGGATTAGAGGAAGTGATTTCTAAAGATCCCTTAAACTCTGTTTAATAATGAAAGTAACAATAGCTAGCATTTATATAGCAATTTAAGGGTTTCAAAGCACTTTACATGTACTATCTCATTTGATCCTCACAACAACTCTTTGAGTGAGGTTACTATTAGCCCCATTTTACATATGAGGAAACTGAGGCAAAAGGTTAAATGATTTGCCCAGGGTCAGTTAGCCAGTAAGTGTCTGAGGCTGGATTTGAAGTCAGGTTTCCTTGACTTCAAATCCAGTGATCAATTTCTATGATTCTATAACAATAATATGCTTGTGTAGGTACCATCATTATCCTCATTTTACAAATGAGGAAATTGAGTCCCAGAGGAGTAACCACCTTGTTGTTATTTGAATTTATTCTGAATATGCTTACATATGTATTTGTAATCTTCCTTGATAGAATGTAAGCTCCTAAGTACATGGATGCTTCCATTCTTTATATTTGTATTCTCCACCTAGCACAGTGCCTGCAACATAGTAAGTACTTCATAATACATGCTTGTTGATTGACTTACTGACTTACTGGAGTTCCCAAAGCAAGTTAGAGACAGAACTGAGACTAGAACCCAGGACTTCTGATTAGCTGTTTAGGGCCCTTTCCATCATGCTACACACCCAGCAACACACAAACATGACACATAGCAGCCTACACAGAATGACACACACCAGCCCCATACAGCCAGGCACAAGGAACATGATACACAGAGAGACACACCCAGCAACACACAAACACAACACCTAGAATGACACAACACACACACACACACACACACACACACACACACACATAAATGCCCTCTCCCTGCCCATCTCCCATCCACTGGGAGAGATGCCCACTCACTGGGCAGGATATCAGGAGCCAACCAGACATGCCCAGTCTCCCACATGCACACACATACACATACTCACAAGTACAGACACAGAAACTCCCGCTCAAAGTCTCACCTACTCAGAAACATGGCAAAGATGCTTAGATGCACATAAATCTCTGTTTCTGTCTCTATTTCTTTTCCTCTCACACCTCATAAGCTCTCTATGGAGAAAGCCAAAGTCCAGGTACACACAGAAATTGAGGGAGAGAAGAGCCACAGAGAGACACAGACAAAACTGCAGAGAAATGAATCCAGAGACCAGATAGAGAGACAATGAGAAACCCAGCCTGAGGAACAGTAAAAAAGAAACATATGCAAAGAGAGAAAGACCAGGAAGAGTCCAGGAGAAAAAGGAGGAGCAGAAGCTGAAGCGATATCTTGTTCTAAGGTTCCTCCTAGTTCTGACATTCTATATTGTGAGATTCCTTCCAGGTCTGACATTCTATGTTCCATGATTCTTTCCAGCTTGGACATTCTATTCTAAGTCTCCCTCCCACCCCACCCCCAGTTCTTTTAGCAGGTGGATTTGAATTCCACCTCAGATATTAACTGAGTGACCATGAGCAAGTGACTTCACTTAACCTCTCTGAACCTCAGTTTCCTCATCTGCAAAATGAAGGGGATTAAACATCATGACGTCTGAGGCCCCACCCATCTAGTTCTAAATCTATGGTACCTAAACATATGACCCAAACAGACTTGGGAAGATAGAGATACTAGAGATGGGGGAACAGGTGTGTACTTTAGGACATATACACATGTAGAGATAGTGAGGCCAAAGAGATAAGAGACACAGAAAGAGATACAGAGACAAATGGATAGGAACAGTGAGAGGCACAGAGGAGAGACAGAGGCAGTGATAGCGCCCCCTGGGGGCTCTGGAGTGACCCCCCCCTTTCCTCCAGGGGCAGGACTTGAGAGGGGGGTGTGTGTGCAGTGACTCAGTCAGCCTCTTCCCGTGACTCAGACAGGGCCTCGCCCCTTGGGAGGGGGGAGAAGGAGGGAGCTCTCCCTGCATTGGGGGTACGGGGGTGGAGGTGGGGTGGGCTGAGTCACAGACCACCGCTCAGGGAGGGGCTCGGATGCTCGGGTCCTGGCGGGAGTGCGGATGCAGAGAATGAGAACACCTGGGTCCTTTTGGGATGAGGCGGGGCGGGGGCAGGACAAGATGGGGACATCATCGTCACCGAGAGTGTTAAGAGCTAGGACAATTGAGTCTCTGATGATGTTCGGCGGGGAGGGAGGGCGACAAGGACGCCTGGGTCCCCGAGGAAACGCCGGGACTAGAGGACCCGGACGCTTCGGAGCCTCGGAGGCTCGGACCGGGATTTCCCGTTGGCCAGAGTCCAGCCTCTCCAGCGCAGAAGCGGCCGTATCTCCGGGGCTGGCGGCGACCCAGGGCTGGGGACAAAGGAACGTTTGACAGGAGGGGGGTGCAGAAAGATCACGCGGCGCCCGGGGCTCCAGGAGAGGGCGGGCCAGGGCCCCGGGACATCCGGAAAGTGGAGGGGCAGGGGGAACGTGTCCTGCCCCGCTTCCCCCTCGGTGTAACCTCTTATACTGGAGCTCCGCGAATCCTGGTCCTGGGGCCGCCACCTGGTGCCAGTGTAAGGGACTGCAGACCGAGCCCGGCAGAGACGGAGAGACATCCCTGTCTCCATCTCTTTGCTTCTGCGTGTCCGTTTTGATTTTTCTGCCCTGGGGTTCTTCTTTCCTTTTGTGTCTCTGTCTGTTTCTACGTCTCTCTGTAGGTCTCTGTCTCTTTGCGGCTCTATCTCTTTCTGTTGGTGTTGGAATCTCTTGTCCAGCTCTATCAATTTGTGTCTTTCTCTGGATCTCCATATCCCTACCTTTCTGTGGGTCTTTAGTTCTTGCGTGGTGGTGATGATGGGGGGGGAGTTATATACTTCGACTACTCCAGTCTCTACTTTTGCCTTTCTTCCTCCCCTGCCAGCCGTCGGGGGTGAGCAGTGATGTGTGTGTGTGTGTGTGTGTGTGTGTGTCTGTCTGTCTGTGTGCACACGAGGGAAGACCTCCCTAAGCCATGCCCTGCTTTAGACCAGCCAGCACCCTGTCACTGTCCCTGGTGCTGAGACTATAGGAGGCGGAAGAGCTCTGTCCCCGGTCCTGATGTAGAACCCGACTGGGTGGTGTTGAGTGAGTGGAAGGGTGGAGTGGTAGTCATAGACCGCAGTTTGATAACATCCTTGGATCCCCGATTGGGCAGGGTCTAAGAAATCAGGGCCCCTGAGGCAATCAGGAACACCTGGATTGCCTGGAAACTTTGACTGGAGAGTCATGAGCCTTGAGTTCTAAACTAGGCTCTGCTCCTCAGTCCATGTGTGACCTAAGGCAAATCTCTTCTCTCTTGGCTTAAAATTTTCCACCTGCAAAATGAGAGGATAGACTAGATTATCTGTAAGGGCCCTACCACATTTGACGTTCTCTGTTCGAAGGTCTCTCCCAGCTCTTTTCTGAAGTCCCTCCTAGTTCTGATATTCCATGCTCTTCAGTCCTCTCCCAGCTCTGACATTCTATATTCCTTGACTCAAGTTGTAGGCTCTGAGCTTGTTTTGGCACTCTTCCACTTATCCTTGACCTTGACACATGCTTCCCACTTCTCCAGCCCCAGGGCCCCCTCCTCTGACCTTCCCTGGCCAGCCCAATTGCCTTGTGTCACATGCCCCATGGGAAGTGCTGCACTCAATCACAATTATTGATACTCCCAGATCTAAAGGGGGGGCAGACTTGGCATGCTTCCCTGTCACATAGGGTCAATAAGAAGGACATCAGTTTACTTAATCACAGAAAATCAGAGCTACAAGGAACCTCATTTTACAGATGGAGAAAGCAAGGTGCATCAGCCCTTGTTCTAGTCGGGGCAGATAAAAAGACAAGAGGGATAAAAACAGAGAAAGAACAGAGACCTCCATACCCCACCCCAGTATCCCTCAGGGGTCTGAGGAGAGAGTGTACCCAGGGGTCCAGGCATGTCCCTGTCCCAATTTTGTATTTCAAATCCTGATTTCTCATTACTTTATGGGACAATTTCTGAAACATATTCTTTGATCAAAACACATCCTGTTCTTTATCTGAATAATCTTGGTCAAATTCTGTTCCCTCTCTAAGCCTTAGTTTCCTCAAATGTAACTTGAAGTAGCCTCTAAAGTTCCTTCCAGCCTTACATCTTAAGAATCTACTTTTTTTTGTCTAAGTGAAGGTTCTGCAAATTGAATCTTAATTTGTCATTGCTTTACCAGATAAGCTATGAGATGTGTTCTTGATCGGCCCATATTTGGTGGATTTTTTAATGCTCAAGAGTCCAGGGGTGGGGATAGGGATTGAACCTGGGATTTTACTGGTCTAGGGAACTCCCAAGTGAGGAAATGTCCTCCACCAAGGCAGACTGGTACCTTCTCTTCAATTTATAGTCTTAGAGAATTGCTGAGAGAATTGAGAGACACCACTAGAAGGAATATTGAGAAGATGAATCAGGCCCTCAGGGGCCTGGAGAACATAGTCAGCAAGGATCTGCAGAAAGAACTGGAGATGGTTAGCCTGCAGAAGGGAAGACTTTGGGTTGGTGGGCTGGTGATAGAGAGCCTACTTCAAATACCTGAAGGGCAGAAGAGGCCTAGATGGCCCTGTTTGTCCCCAGAGGCCAGAAACAGGAGCAGTTGGCAGCAGGCGGGGGCTGGAGGTGGAGGTGGAGGTGGAGGGTGGAGGGTGGGGAAGGGAGGATGGGGTGGGGTGGGGTGGGTGGAGAATTTGCAGAGATGATGACTTCAGATTGACGGAAAGAAACACTTTTTAATAATTAGCACTGTCCAAAGTGGATCAGATTGCCTAGAGAGAGAATGAGTTCCCCTTCACAGGATGTATTCACCTGGAGGCGGCAGGAGCACTTTTGAGGGATTAGCAAAGGGAAAGGTTGAGCTGGGCTGCCTCTGCAGCCTCTTCCAAACTGGTGACTCTCCAAGTATCTCCACTCCTAACCAGGGTTGCCCTGATCCTCCCTCCCCACCCTGCCCGGCAACACATATGAGTACCACATCCCTTGCCTGAGTGTTTAAGGCTCTCTAAACAGACCGAAAAGCCAAGCTTGGAGGGAAACCAGGACTTCGTTCAGACCCCTAACAATAAGAGGACTATCAGGGGCAGGGCCAGGAGCGAAGGGGCATGAGAGGAAGCAGTATTGAAGAAATGGGGCTTAGGGATGCTGGAGACTCCATTACAGAGATTCCCCTCACAGCAGGTCCCTTTGAGGTAGTTGTCTGACCAGTGAGTGGCAGCCCCAATGAAAGTGCACGTGGGCTCGTGGCATGTCCTCATGTAGACAGAGTTGGTGAAATTTTCTGGGGAGGGAGGAAGGCAGAGATTAGCAGGAAGAATTAGGCTCCTTCCAGGACCAGGATTCTCTCCCATTCCTACTCACCGATGGCCAGGAAGCCTTGACCCTGGAAGCAAACACTCTGGCCCCCATGACACTTGATCTTGTGGGCATTCTGGAGCTCACAGCCCTCAGGAGTAGTACTGACACAGGCCCAGCACTCTGTGCCACTGAGTTCAGGGGGATCTGGGGCTGAAGAGGAACAGGGGACGTTGCCAGGTCAGGGTGGACCCCTGCCTCTGCATTGGTCCCTGGGTCCTGAAACTGGCGGCTATGCCCACAGGGATCCCCAACTCTGTCTATCAAATATCCTGGGAATAAGTGCTTACTGCAGGCACCTAGAACTAAATACTTAGGCCTCAGTTTTTCCATCCTTAAAATGAAGGAATTTAATTAGATCACCTCTAAGGGCCCTCCCAGCTCTGCCATTCCCTGTTCTAAGGCCCCTCTCAGCCCTGACATTCCCTGTTCTAAGGCCCCTTCCAGCTCTGATCTTCCCTGTTCTAGGTTTCCACCAGCCCTGACATTCCCTGCTCTCGGGTTCCACCCAGCCCTGACACTCTATGGTCTCCCTTCTAAGGGGCCCTCCAGCTCAGTTTGTCAGTATCTCTGTTGATGAACAAAAGGTGCTCAGAGCTCACTCTCTGGGGTGTCTGGAGCCCCCCAGGCTGCCCTGCCCCCCGCTTCACTTCACCTGCACTGAGGTTGGGGATGCTGTCATGGCTCTCGATCTGGCGGTTGCATAGATTCTCCTGGCATCGCCGTACCATGGTGTAGTCAGGGGGCAGTGAGTCTCCCCCTGAGGTCATCTCCCCGGAACCTGGCCCATAAGAGCAGCCCTTTTTCACCAGGGTCAGTGAGTTTCTGTAACCTGGAGATCAGGAGGAGGGGAAGGGGGAAGGACGTAACTCAGTCATGGCTTCTCTACTTCATCCCCGAGTTTGATCTGCAATCCTACAGCCCTGGCATGTTCCTCACAAGCTCAGTGCCCTACCATTCTGACCCATTTTTTTCCTCAGACTTTAACTGACTTCATTTTTATTCCACCCCCAGTTCACTTCTCTCTCTCTCAGCTTATGTGACCTCAGTACATCACTCCTTCTAACATCTACAATCTGGCCCTTAGTTTCTCTATCTTGCCCTTCCCAGAGGACTGAACTAGCTAATTTTTTAAATGCTTCCTAGCTCTGGCCTTTTTTGTTCTAAGATTTTAAGGGTTTTTACCTTTTGGAATTTAATAGGCATCAATATTAAGTCTTTTACTTGAATTTTTTAAAAAAGCCAACCCTACAAGGTCAGGGTGAAGCTAGGGAGCAGCTCATCTGAAAATGATCTGGGGGTCTTGGAAATCCACAAGTCCTATGTATGCCAAGGTATGACTTGGCAGCCCAAAGCTCATGTGATCCTCAGTAGGGGCAGTGTCTAGGACTAGGGTGTTGGTGGTGGTCCCCTGTGTTTTTCTGTGGTCTGACCACTCTGGAGGAACATCTCCCATTCTGTGTGCCATGTCTTAGCAAAGGCATCCACAGATAAGAGCATGCCCTCGGGATGGTCACCAGGATGGAAACTGAGAGAAGGGATGAAGGATCTTTAGCCCAGAGGAGACATGGTAGTTGTCTTTGGTTATCTGAAGGGTTGTCATGTGGAAGACAGACTGACTAGCCTTGTTTTTTGTGGGCCCCATAGGGCAGAATGAAGAGCTAGCTGTGGGGGCTATGGGCAGCAGAGCTCATGTAGAAAGATCTTGGCTCATCTGAAGAATGTCTTGACAAGTAATTGGGATGGGCTGCTTCAGAAGGTGGCAGCTAGGTGGTGCAGTGGATAGAGCACCAGGCTTGGAGTCAAGAAGACCTGAGTTCAAATCCAGCCTCAGACACTAGCTCCTCTAGTCACTTCACCCTGTTTGCCTCAGTTTCCTCATCTGTCAAATGAGCTGGAGAATGAAATGGCAAACCAGTCCAGTGTTTCTACCAAGAAAACTGCAAAGGGGGTCACAGAAGAGTTGGACACGATTGAAATGACGGAAAAACAGCAAGATTCATAAGCTCCCTATCACTGGAGGTGTTTGAGCCAAGGACAGAGAACCTCTTGTCAGGGATGTTGAAGAAAGGATTGCTGTTCAGGAACAAGCTGGACTGGATGCTTTCTGAGGTCCTTTCAACTCTGGATAACCAGAATACAAGATCTGTGCTTTAACATTATGTGGTGGGATTCTGTCATCCTCTTTCTTGCCTCTTCCCCCGCCCCCCCCCAGTCCCTCACCCCTTCCCGGTGCCCCCATCCCTACCTGTACTCAGGGAAGTCACTGCCTCCAGGCAGGCCTCTTGACCTGAACCACAGACCACAATGGGCATCCGGAGGCCAGAGAGATCAAAAGGACCAGCAAAGGAACGTTCAAAACTGTAGCACTCAAGAGCCCATGTGACTGTGGAGACAAAGGATGGGCAAGAGAGTGTGGGAGGGGAAGAAGACGACCCCTGCCCCTGCTAAGCCCTGGCCGAGATGGGCGGCATTGCCATTCTGGCTGCGGGATGCCCTGCTAGGTTACTGTCTCATCCCTGATCTTATCTCCTTGCCTAATTCTGAGAAGGAACTGGCCACACCAGCTCACCCAGTCTTTTCTCTCCTTCCCTTTTCTTAAGCCTCTCCCTCCCTCTCTTCATTTAGGCTGATGGCAAATTCCTTTCTTCCTTCAGGAAGCCCTCTGGGATTTCAAACAAGAGAGAGGATGAGTCACTTTCCTATTCCCCTACCTCATCCACATCTTTGTCACACTCATCCCTATTCTTTGGTTGCATCTCATGCCTGCTTCTGAGATGGGTAACAGAGAGGATGGATAAGTGAAGAGAAGTATAGCACAGTGCAGATATACAGTATATATGTACACACACACACACACTTTTATATATATGTATATGTGTAGAGAAGGATAGTACAGCATAGCACAGTGAATAGAGCCCTGGCTCTGGATCAGAGGCCTTGAGCTCCAATTCTGTCTTTGAAATTTTCTGTTTGGCCTTAATAAAGTCCCTGTGCCTCAGTTTCCTGTCTATAAAATGAGGCAGCTGGACTAGATGGCCTTGGAGTTTCCTTCCAGCTCTGAATGTTTGGTCCCTCGAACTGGTTCTAGGAGCTTCAGAGACTGAGGTGAGGCCCAGGGACCAGGACACAATGCTATGTGCTCATCCCCATCCTCCAAACAGAGATGCAGACACAGAATCCGAGATGATTCAGAAGACAGAGACAAACATAAGGCAGAGGTATAGACGCTGAAAGAGATCGAGGCTCAGACATCCCGAACACTGAGCCACAGAGGGAGCACAGAGATAGAGACATCAGAGAGGCGGAGACAAGGATTTGGAGGCATCGCCGAGACATTGGAGAGGCTAACAGGGCAAGAGGTTGGAGACACAGACTCAGAGATGAAGGGACACGGAGCCCAAGAAAGGCTCATCTCAGGCACAGGGAGCTGCTCCCTCCCTCCTCTTTCCCTCTCAGCCAGGTACAAACAGGCTCGCAGGGGGACTGAGGACCTCAAAGGGTGCAGGGACAGAGCCTTTTCCTCCTGCTCCACTGACTTCTGGGCTGTGCATTTCTCCATCACCATGTCTGCCAGAGAGGAAACTCAAGTGCCCTCCCTCCCTGTCTGATCCCCTCAAAAAGCCTGGCCCCATTGTAACTGGAGGAGGAGAAAAGAGGAGGAGGGATGAGGTTGAAAAGAGGATGAGAAGAGGAAAACGGAGCTCCCTCTTTTCTCCCCTGCCCCTGCCTCTCCAGGACCCTAAGGTGTTGATCTCTGCCCACTCCTCCCTCCACCTCCACCCCAAGCTGTTCAATACCTGACAGTGTCCCGAAGAAGCTGAGCAGAGACCAGAGAAGGATCATGATGATGGAGAGGCCGGCGTGGGCTGTCCCGAGTGCTACTTCAGGTGTGTGAGCAGGTTCTTCTCCTCCTTCCTGCCTCCTTTATCCTCCGCCCTTCCCCTCCCCTCCCCCTTCACTCCCAGGGCTGGGCTTCTCCAGGGGCACTCCAAGGGTGAGGTTTGTTTGGTGCCTTGGTACCTTGGCCTCTGAGCAAGCTTCCATAGCCACAATGGGCTAGACATAAGGTAGCTTACATCCCCGAAGGGATCAAGGACTGGGGAGCAGCCCTACCTTTACGGGTCTCCCCTACCCATCCCAGGTGTAAGATGATATTAAGTGATCCCCTGTGTATCTGCCCCCAAGTAGGGGCCGGTGGGGGGGGGTCCCTATTGCCTAACTAGTCTCTCCTCTGCTTTCCAAAACTTTTGGCCCCCTCCCCAAGGCCTCCTCCCATTCTTAGTCTCTGATTCTCCCTCCCTCCATCCCTGTCTCTGTCTCCTTCTCTGTTTCTCTTCCTGACATCTCCCTCTCCTTTCTCTCCCTTTTTTCTCTCTGTCTCCTCCTCCACTGTATCTGGAAAGAAGAAAGCCCTGTTCAACCACGTTCCTAGGTAATTCTCATGGATGCACCTGAGGTCATATAGATGACATTTCACTGGGCACCTCCCTCCTTGTCCCATCATCACAGCCTCCCAGACAGTCTCTGCATCCTGGTCTTCGGTACCCTCCTGAGGTCCCGCTCCTCCAAGAAGCCCTCCATCATCACTAGCTGATCCAAGGAACTCTCTCTGTGCGCCCCATCCTCTGAAGGAATGTGGCTCAGGGCTGGCTGCCCTGAAGTCAGTGGAGGTGAGGACTTCAGGGCCCACATGCCTGGATCCTTGACTCAGGACATTGACTGCTGTGGAACCCAGGCACAATTGTGTGAGGGCATTTATGTCAACCACCTCACTGCCTGCTAGGTACCTCCAGCTCCTGCCTAGGATCCTTGGGTGGGGTCATGATGGAGGAGAGAGGCCTCCCAGTTCAGAAGGGCTCCTATCACTATCTGGGACCTGCCTGCTTCTGGAGGGGTTGGAGCTGAGGCTAGAGTCACCACGTGGTGGGACGGCTGCTCTCAGGCGCTCTACCAGGACCAGGCAGGGGGCTCTGAGGTAGATCTAAGGAGGCAGCTGCATTCTCTCACCCAAATGGCCATTCCTGACCTCTGTCCAAGCCCCAGACCCATGTGTCTACCAGCTTGTGGGGTGTCTAAGATCAACACATCCCAGACGGAACTCACCACTCCGCCTCCAAACCTGGCTCTCTTCCCAGAATTCCTGTTTCTGTTGATGGGCTCCAGATCTCAGGGCCACTCTCTGTCCTTCCTTCTCCCTCCCATGGTGAATCAGTATGTTCACCCTCTCACCCCTCGCCCATTCATTTCCTTCTCTCCACTCCTGGGGCCACAGCCCGAGCTCAAGCCTTCATCACTCCTTGACTAGACTCTTATAACCATGGGCCTTTCCTAGAGCCTTTGAAGGCACAGGCTTGACCCTGTCAGGCTTTAGACAATAGTCCTAAGGGCAGCTAGGTGGTGCAGTGGATAGAGCACCAGCCCTGAAGTCAGGAAGACCTGAGTTCAAATCCTGCCTCAGACCAAACACTTGACACTTACTAGCTGTGTGACCCTGGGCAAGTCACTTAACCCCAACTGCCTAAAAAAAAAAAATAAGTAAATAAATAGACAATAGCCCTCAATAGCTCCCAAAGGTCTCTAGGGTAAAACAGCAGCTCCTCAGGCTGGGTTGTAACGCTCTTCACAATCTGACCGCCATCTGCCTTTCCAGTGGTATGTTCTATGGCTCCACTTCATTTATTCCATGTCCCACCCAACAGGATGATCAGCATTCTCCCGTCTGGGCTTGCTTTCTCCCACCTCCATGCATTCGGGAAGGCTGACTTGTCTTCTGGGAACACCCGCTCTCATCATCACTGGACATCAAGAGCTTCTTTTCCTTCAGGGCTCAGCTCAAAATGCGACTGTGCCAGAGACTTTCCCTCCTCACTCAGACGAAAGAAGGGATCTCTTTGTCCTCACATTTTCCAAGCTCCTTTGCCTAGTGGCAGCTGGGAGGCATCATGAATGCAAGAGAGTTCAGATGCTGCCTTAGATGACAATGTCACCAGTGACAAATCAAATCGCTTCACTCCTATTGACTCAGCTTCCCCATCTTTAAAATGGGGATGATGACAGCACCTACCTCACAGGGTTGTTGTAAGGGTCAAATGAGATAACACGTGTGAAGTATTAGATAAATACCAGCTCTTATTTTTGTCCGGATCTCTTTTTTTTTTCACCCATCATGCTATTCATCATATACTTATCTATTGATACGTCTATTCCTCCCAGTAGAACATAAGCTCCTTGAAGGGAGTGATTGTGGGCATTTTAAAGCTCTTTGTGTAACCCAAGTCCCAAAGCCCATTGGCATGTGGACATCCTGGTCCTCCAAGCGTGCGCTATCTCCACCTCAATGCTGGGAGCTCCGGTCTCTGGTGCCCTGCATGTGTGCACCTACTTGTCTCTGTCTTTCCCAGTTCGAATGGAAGCTCCTTGAGGGCAGGGACTAGTTTTTTTTTTTTCTGCTTGTGCTTATATTCTCAGTACTTAGCACAGTGCCCAGCACAAAGTAAGGGCCTAATAAAGGCTTGTTTACTTCTGACTGAAGTGTAAGCAGCGAAGCTTCTAGGGACTGGGCAGGGCTGGAGAAATGGTGGAGTAGCCTTTTGGCTTCAGAACATTTAGAAATTAACCAAATGCTATTTAAATATTAGCCAGTGTTTATGATAATCCATAGATCCAGTGATAACGTACACACCTACCATGCAATGTGTAACCCAAGACCCAAGCTGCTCTGATCCTGTGGGCTGCCCAGCAGACCAGCTACTGGTCAGAAGAGAAGTGGGCAGTCAAGTTCCTCTTTTTCTACAGCTGACTTTCATCATGACCCTCTCCCGCTCCACACGAAGCCTTTCCTGTTCCCCTGAAGGCTAGCGTAGTGCCTCCTTCCGTGGCTGGTCTCCAGTTTGTCTTGTGTCTGTCCACAGGTGCTGGCATGTGGTCCCCCCATTAGACTGTGAGCTCCTTGAGGGCAGGGATGGGCTTTTGTCTCTTTTTGTATTCCTATCACTTAGCACAGTACCTGACACACAGTAGGCGCTTAATAAATGTGTGCTGACTTGACCAGAGCTGCTTCTTCTCTTCTGACCCAAAGATCATAGATAGGGCCATGAACACAGAGCTGAAGGGACCTCAGGGTCACCAAGACCTGCCCCCTCATTTGACAGAGGGGGAAACCAAGTCCCAGGGACATTAGTGACCTGCCAAAGATCTGATGGATTGGAGGACCAGCCTCAACGGGGAGTTGTGGCTTCTCTTGGACTCAGGACAGGCTGCCCAGCACAGCTGCAGCCAGGGTTGGCTGAGGCTTCTGGGAGGACCAGCTGGTGCCTGAAGGCAGGGCAGCCTCTTCTCTTCCTTACTCCCCTTAGGGCCTCAAGGAGGGACAGACCTGGGTCCAGACCCCCATCTTCCTGGCCCTGCCCTGGCCAGACACTGTCAGCCTTGGCAGAAACCAAGCAGCGCCTTCCCTGCTCCTTTTTTCCCAGGTATTACTAATGCCCAGCCTGAGGCCTTCCAAATCTGGGTCATGGTCAGAGTCTGGGCACAAAGAGAGACATCAGCCTTAGGGCAAGGGAAGCAGCCCACAAGGAGTTTCCCGACCCTTTGTGAAAGGCTTGCACATTTACTCATTCAATCATTTTACAAATGTTTTGTTGTTTCCCCCCTTCATCCTTCCCCTCCCTGAAGAATCCTCAGGGCCCTCTTCTTTAGCTGGGGTCTAATTTTCTAACATCCAGTCTGTGAATCTGTGTTCCTCCGGCCACAGATCTCAAAGCACCTATGCAGAGCTGCCTGGGATTGGTCAAAGGATTACAGAATTTGGAGATGAAAGGGACCTCAGAATGATCTAGTATGAGACAGTAATTTTACAAGGAATTAAACTGAGGCCCCGAGAAGGCTTGTCCAAGGTCACACCACCAGTCAGTTAGAGATGAGATTAGAATCCAGGCCCTCTGAGTTTAAACTCACATTATTTCTAATATATCAACCTGGGACTTAGTCAAGGCCACCCAACAAGGGCCTTATCAGGTACTATCTGACAATGACCAACTCTATCACTGTAAAGAAGGTGAAAGTGAGTCCCAGAGAGGGAACAGCCCCAGCTTATGGCCATACAGCACAGAGTTAACTCAGATCCCCAGTTCCCCAATCTCAGCCAAGGGGTCTTCTTGGACTGGGTTTACCTCCTAATTCCAAAATCTTAAAATTATCTAAAAATCATTAAGATAACAAGGGTTCTGTATGCAGAGAGTGAGGAGAAGATACTTGATAGACAAATTAGAAAGAATTTGTCCTTGGTTCATCTGTCAACCATATTTGTGCCCCTCTAATTGGAAGGGCTGGCAGAAGACCCAGCCCCACCCTCTAGAACAGGGATGGGGAACCTTCAGCCTTGAGGCCACATATGGCCCTTTAGGTCCTCAGGTACAGCCTTTTGAGTCCAAGTTTTAGAGAAGAAATCCTTCATAAAGGGGATTTGTTCTGTGAAGTCTGGATTAATCGAAGTTCATTAGCAAAGGGTCCATCTTTTACAAGAGGGCTTTCCTCATTCTCCCAGTTGCTACAGCCTAGAGTTAGATCTTACAGGAAGCCAGGCAATATGAGAGGGAGAGGTGAAGATGGACAGAAGCATTCCAGGCATGGGAACAGTCAGTACAATGGCCAAGAGACTGGAGATGTAGTGTTGTGTATGAGAAAAATAAAGAGGCTGGTGCAGCTGGAGCTGAGCAAGATGGAGGTCAATGTCCAAAAACGAGAGACAGAGGAAGGCCCCAGCTTACATAGGGCTTTCGGTGCTGAACAGGTGACTTTATACTTAGTCTGGGAGGTAAATGCGAGTGAGGAATTGAAAAAGTCCAAGAGACATCGTTTTTGGGTAATTTAATCATTTTAGTAACAATGCCAGCATGTTTATTAATAAAAGATCAGTGACATT